TTTAATATCCTTGTAAATACTGCAAATGTTTACTAAACCTAAAATTAATGTTTATGTAGTTTAAGTAAATAAAATTAAATTCATCCTTCTAAATTAAAGTGATATAAAACATAATATAATATAATATTGCTACGCCCTACCAGGGCTCATGTTTGGCTCTAATATATCTAATATAAGAACTATTTATGTAACCACATGAAGGCAATAAAATATTTGAGTTTGAGCTTAGATAATAATAAAAATATTTTAAGGCATGTGTCTGTCCACCTACATGCTTTGGAGCATCATGTTACTATAATGTAATGACTCAATTTTCTCTATTTAATTTGATAATGACAAGATTTTCTAGTTTTGATCAACATTTTAGGTTTAAAAATATAGGTAAGTAGACAAAATAATTCTATTATTATTTTATAAAATTACTACAAAAACTACTCGAACTCCAATGTACACCACACACGGTCAGTTCAACTGATCATTCCAACTGATCAGTTCAAAAGAAAACTGTTGATACTTTTTAAGATATCCAATTTTCAATATATCAATTATTATAAATATATCAATATCGAAGTTTTATATATGTTTATTTATCGATATATCGAAAATCCAATAGGTATTAAAGAATATCAACAGTTTTAGTTTGAACTGATCAGTTGAAGTGACCGTGTGTGGCGACCGACCATAATAATCCAACAAGACATGACTTGTCCATGTACCTAATAATAGTTTTTAAAAGTTTAAAACTTCATTAAGTTACACTGGGAGCAGTGCATCGCACACCATAATATTTCTTGGATAATAAATTTTTTAGAGTTATTTATTCACTTCTAAAAAGCATTTTCGGTAATTTTAAATTGCTACTCTTTAAGATTATACTTCTCTAAAACAAATTAATAGGCTTATTCTAAGACCATGGGCTAAAATGGGCTAAAATATTAAATATAATACTTACAAATTATTATCACTGCGCCAGGAGCTGTTATTAATGCCACTTGCAGATTAATTCTCTAGTTTAAAGTCGGTAATCTATGAGATTAATAAACTAAATAACAAATATGTAGCAAGCTGGTGCCACTGCGGCAGAAGTAGGTAGGTTCCGGTGCACTTTTTCACATTGATTTATATTGCTTTTTCATTGCATATTTTGTATTAATCACGGAGGTACCTATGAATTATAATCATATCATAGAGTACCTCCGATAGGAGTAATAGTATTCTGTTTCTATGCTATGTACTAGAGCATTATAATGATATTAAGATATTATACTTATAGTTTAAAAATAGAATGAAATAAAATCATGAAATTTCCAGAGTTGCTACTTTCAGGTTTCAGTTTTGCCCTAAATATTTTTAAAATTTCTGTAAATAAAAATATTATCTATAATTAACAAAATAATATTAATAATATTCTTGTAAAGAGTTTATTTGGTTTAATATGGTCGTTGAAGTTTAAAATGTTGCAATTGGAGAATTGTTTTTTTAATTTTTCCTGGAATTCAGCATGACACTGCAGTATTACTGTTTGACTAAAAGGAATACTGAATAATCATTAACCTGATCATTTGACGATGGCAAAGATCGGCTATTTACAGCCTAAGTCCCACTACTTGGAGAAGGACTGATTTCTCAGAAAATTTTAGGGCAAGTAGTTGTCTGCTGCACTGCCTCGCACGCATAGCGTCATGGCAAACTTCACATGCAGGTGTCATCACATTGCTTTCATTCACCACCAATCACTTAGTAAATCGGCACTTAATATTACAATTAACGATTTCATTAGTGACGACGGGGATTGAACCCGGGTTAATCGCGTACTTTAAAATTTACGGCGAGCATCCTGTAATAGTAGGTTGCAGCCGTGCTACCCTAAGTAAGTTGTAACTTTACTGGGGTAAGGATAAAGTAATTTTTTACTTGCATATTTGCTCAAGTAAATTTTCTAATTATTGAAGCAAATAAAGTTAACTTCTAGTAAAAAATATATATTATTCAACTTGAATTGATTATTTGCAAATAACCCTAAGTTCCTTATATTATGAGCTAGACCTAAATCGTGCTATAATTAACATATTATATTCGCCTCAAAAAGTTCGAAGTCTCTAAGTGTAAACCGTTATAATTGCTACTGCTGGGCTATTGGACTGAATTTGAATGACATGGTGAGAAATTGTCTGATAAGAGAAGAGTGTGGTTTGCAAGATGATGTTGTTGAAAACTTTGCCAAGTTATTACTCACATTTGTGCGAATGGGCATAGTACAATTAATTTATTCTTGGTGGCACGTGTTTTGTACTGGCAAATTTATTTAAAAGTTCTAAATCATATATTCAATTTCAATGAATAAAACTATAAAATTTAAAACTATGTGTTCACAATTATTCTTCTGCAGTAGGAACATGCCCAATACTAGCTAATATGTAATACCTTTCTTTATTTTCAGTTTCTTCAAACCTCAACATTCCTTTAATAACTGAGAAGTTTCAACTCAATCAACCCTCAACATCAAAAATGTGTAAAGATGAAGGTAAGAATTGCTTCTCAACATATTTTTTTTTACCATCATGTTTGGCAGGTGGATTAACATTAGTACTACCAGACGTCTCAAATCTTTGAAGCTACTACCTATTGCCAGCCTGCATGTTTTATATATGTTAAAACAAGACAGTTTTACTGACATCTATCAGAAGTTATAGGGTTTATCGGACCTTTTATGACACATATGGGATGAAGTGAGGTGAGGTATTCTCATATAGCACCACTGCAAAGCACTTCGAGGCAAATCTCTCTACAACTGGTTGATGGAAATAATATCATAATACCTACCTTAGAATCGTAGTGCGTACGTCATAGTACTCTTATTAGTTTGTGGTGTAAACACTGTAAATGCTGCCTTGCTATAACCCTCAACTTCTAACTAAAACACATAATTTTTTTTAAAGATATTTATGAAATTTTCATTTTCATTCTTAAAGCTTACAAATTACTGGAAAAATATTACTTTAGTTTTCATTATAGTTGGGTTTTGTTTTAAACATGTCATAATTTTAATTTTAAATAAATATTGCTTAAACTTTTTATGTACGAAATAATTTGCGTATTTCGTTCCATTTTTAACTGGTAACTTTGTTATTGTGTAACCAATCAGCGTGGAATCCCCGACTATGGATAATAGATATAAATGAAAGACCGATGCCGGTTTACACTTTGAGCATAGAAAATAGAGGAGCCGCCCAGAGCGTCTATATATATAGGCGTCTAGTATATAGGCAGTAATCTATGGTCTATATGTTTTGTTCGTAGACCTTAGTCCATTCTTGTTCGTCTTCATTCTCTGTCTACGGTTTTGTTGGTTATACAAATATGGTCAAATTCGACATTGAATTATCAATACGCTGCCTATGTCTTTTTAACTCAGCTAAAAGTGTTATTCATAAAAGAAACAGATAATAGAAATTGTTTCGTGTACTGGTAAAAATTTTTACGAAGACGTCATTTAATCATATTTATACATATTTATTTATCTATGTTTATTGTTTGAGATTTGCTGTTTGCTGTTGAATTGTTTGTGTTTGATATTTGTTATTAGAAAATTTTGCGAATTTTTAAACAGCTTATGAAATTGATTAGTGAATTTTCTAATTCAATATATATTACGAAGATGACTAAGTGTTGTGTAAGAGGCTGTGCTTCAAAATATAATCAAAAATCACCCGAATGATCGTGTCATAGGTGAGTAATTTTGTTTTTGCTGTAAATATAATGCAAAAAGTTTATTTCTTGTCGCAAAGTGAGTAGATGGATGTTTTTGTTTACCTTAAACCTTTAATTCATATTATTTAATTATTTCTTACCATTCTTTGCGTACCTATAAAATTTGTTTGTTCGTAAATAGTGATGTTACATTGTTTAACATAAATTCTTTCCAATACAACTTGTTGTACTTTTTTGTGTTATGCATTGCATTATTTCGGTGTCATGTGTGTATGAGCAGTGAGCATATATGATACGGAAACGGTGTCACATAATATTAGGTCGGTACCTGCTCCTATATAATAAAAGTGAATCAAAGCAATAAAGGTTATACAAAGTACGATCTAGCGCCTGCAATCTCTTTATCTCTCTCGGTAGGCAAACATGCAAATACCTCAGAGGGACATTATTACTTGACAGCTGGAGAACCCACTTCGTTATATATTGAATATAATTGCCCATCCCTGCCTTTTAATAATGCAATATACAAAAATTTTAAGCATATTTTTTTGCCTCTAAGTAACCTTTTATAACACTCAATGTTGTATGTAATATTATTAACAGCTTCGTAGATCTAAATCATTATTGTCATATGTTCTATCATTTTTAGGTAGCGAAAAAACGAGAAGAAAAGACAAATGTGGCTTGACTATTGGTGTAGAAAATATTAACCCAACAGAAAAACAAAACCACATATGTTCGCTGCATTCTGCAAAAGAATCTATTAATAAAACTCTTGATGTAGTTAGGCTTTGTGATGATGCAGTGCCAACCATTTTTCCTGCTGTAAGTTTCTAGTTTTGTTACATTTGTACAACAAGCAATGTTTGTTACAAGCAAATATGAACAGTAGTTCTCTTTAAAGGAAGTGATTTCTGATGCTCTTACATATATTTTGACATACATAATATTAGTTAGTTTTCAAAATATAGATATTTACCTACTTTATATTTATCAAAACAAACTACATATCTTTTTATGGATAGGGAAACTGTTAAATATTATAAAATCTTTTTATAAAGGGTTATAGAATTCTTGCTTTATTAAATTAATATAAGAAATTCCAAAAAATAATGTTCATGATTAAAACATTGTTTATGTGGAATTCATTTGAACTTTTTATAAAATTTGTAAATTCAGATAAAAATTGCAATTACTCTTAATATATAGCATAAGCCCAGTGCATGATTAAATGTAAAATATGCATCAGGTATGATGATTATGTTTTTTAGAAAATTAAAATTAACAATATGAGTCTGAGTAAATCTGATTACTTATTTTTCAAACAAAGCTGTAAGTCAAACAATTCATGAGGACTTTACAAGGACATATTAACAACTATGATTTATTGATTTTTAAAAGATTGTTAAAGTTGGGCACAATAAAATTGAGGTGTATATTTCAAGTAATGAGAAGTTACCTAAGCAATTTGGCTTAGCTAGGGTGTTGAAGGAGCAACAAAATTTAGACATATCTAGAGTTAAATATTTAAACCCGTACAAAGTGCGTTTAGATATTACTAATGAGATGAGTGTAACCAAGTTGGAAACATGTAAAGCGTTGATTAAAAGGGGTTGGAAAGTTCAAAAAGCTATAGAAAAAAGCATTTCATATGGGGTTATTAGGGATGTTGATATGGAACTAGGTGATGAGGAAATACTTTTAATGTCCCAACAATGCAGAACTTCTTTCCATCAAGCGACTGCAAAGACGAAGTGCAACAGGAAGTAGTTGGGTTCCTAGTGAATCAATACAACTTTGTTTCAAGGGATCGTTTCTACCAGCATACGTACATGTTGAGGGTTTGAGAATTAAAGTGGATCCATATGTGTTTCCGGTGTCACAGTGTTAGCGCTGTTAGAAATTAGGTCATACAATTAAAAAATGCCCATATAACAAAGTAGTGTGTCCTAAGTGCGTCGAAAACCATGAAAATTGTAATATAAATACCTACAAATGTGTTAATTGTACAGGTAATCACATGTCCTTGGCCAGGACCTGCCCAGCATATCAGCGGGAAAAAAGACTGAGGGAATTGATGGCAGAGTTTAACTGTACATATAGAAAAGCACTTACAATTATTGTAACACCTAGCTCTCCGGTGCAAGAGACAAACACCTCAAACAGTAAAATAACCGTTTTAAGGTCGGAAGCTCCGCAAGTGCAGTCTACCTCATATAACCAGGGCCGCGAACATGACCAGGTTACGTTTGCTCAGGTGATTAAGACTGAGGCAATAGCACATAGCGAATCGGAACCAAAACATAACCTCCGGATCAAGAAGACACCGCGGCTAGGTGCTAGGAGAGCTGTCTCCCCTGAACACCACGCTAATTCCGTGGATACATCAACAATGGTCCATTTGGAGGCCAAGACACCCCCGAAAAAGGAAGTGAACTTTAGTGAATTATTAAATAGACTGAAAGAGATCATATTTTTAAGAAATGCATCTATACAAGACAAGATAAAGGAGGTGATAAAGTGTTGTGTGGAATGGTTGATTTTAGTTGTAGTAGATAATATTTCGGATTGGCCTATTTTAAAATTATTACTGGACTATATTAAATGGATAGTACAAAAAAACATGTTAAGATAAATATTATCCAGTGGAATTGTCAAAGTATCAGACCTAAGCTAGTTGCATTTGAACAGTTACTTTCGCAGGAAAAGATTCACATTGCGGTTCTAAGTGAAACATGGTTAGAGCTGGACAGCCCATTAAAAATTAGTAACTATAACATACACCATAGGGATCGTTTCGATTCGGTGGAGTTGCAATAATTACCCACAAAGCAGTTAAGTGCAGCTTACAAAGTATGCCAATAGTTAACCCGGGCATAGAGATTCTTTATTTAAAGGTTTACAATTGTGTTGATATTGAAAACATTATGGCTGTTTATTGTCCTCCTTCTGTACATACAACCGTTAATGATTGGGATCAATTACTATCTTTTATCAATAAAAAATCGCTTTTACTTGGCGACTTCAATGCACACCATAATACTTGGTCAATGAAAACAGACTCTAGAGAAGTTCAGAATTTTTACGTGTTAATAGATAACTCGTTAATAACATTAAACAGTGGTGGACCAACGCGCATTAAGTTAGTTAACAGTAGCTTGCAGGAATACTCCCCGGATATTTCTTTCTCATCTGCGGATATCGCTCTAAAACTCGATTGGCCCATAATAAATGAAACTTTAGGCAGTGATCATCAAATAATTAAAATATCCATTAATATTAAAACTAGTAATATGAAGGTTATAAGAAGAAACTTTAAGAAAGCCGACTGGATTGGGTACAAAGATGCGCTTCACAGGAATTTTTCAGGTATATCACTACCTATAGACCTACAAAACGCATATGATTTATTCATTGAATGCATTAACGAAGCGGCTAAAGAGCACATCCCTCCAATAAAAATCAACCATGACCCAAGCAACGAATTTAAACCTTTACCCTATTGGAATTCTGCACTATCTAAAGCAGTTGCTGAACGACGGTTGGCACCATCAAAATTTAGACGAATTAATACGAACAGCGAAAAACAACGCTTGGCAAGAGTTTTGTTCTACCATTGATCATTCAGCCTCTCAAAATGACTTGTGGCGTAAAATGAAATGGTTGAAGGGTTACAGGGCTCACAACCATTTTATTGATAAGGATTTAGCGTCCGAATTGATTAATACTTTGATTTGATTTTGTTTCCCCCATGAAACCCGCTGTTCTATCTACTAATCAAAAATTAGAAACCAAAATCTCATTACATCATCAAACCAGGGAGAGATAATAGTTTAGTTTCAGCATTACGTCCCATCTCTATGATCTCGTGTATGTGTAAAATTTTTCACAATATTATAAAAAACAGATTAGAATGGTATATTGAAAAAAATAATATTTTATGGAATAACAATAAAGGTTTTAGAAGAGGTCGTTCAACATTAAATAACCTTTCTAGTCTGGTTTCTGAAATTCAGTTAGGCTTAACAAGTAGCTACAATTGGTTGTTTTATAGATATAGATAACGCATACAATAACGTGGATGTTACTAGTGTAATTCAGGCTATGGATCGTTTTGGTATAGGTTCAGCTATATGTTACCTATGGAATTTTCTCAGTCAAAGATCATTAAAGATTCAAGTTAACAATGCCATAATTTGCTGAAATAGAGGTAGAGGATTGGCTCAGGGGGACCCATTATCACCATTGCTATTCAACATAATTACGACACAAATATGCAAAGAGGTACAAAAGGTTCGCATATCACAATATGCAGATGACTTTGTTATATACATGGGCCGTAAAAATTTATTAGAAGCTGTTGACTATCTCCAAGAGGCATTGGATTTAGTAAGCTCACTGCTTTTCAACATAGGTCTAGATGTGTCTCCTATAAAAAGTAAAGTGTGTGTGTTCTCTTGTGGATTTAGACGTGAGTTGATAGACTTAAAAATTAATGGCTTTTCCTTACAGGTAGTTGATAGTATAAAATATTTAGGTATATGGTTGGATCGTGGTCTAAGATGGCGAAAACATATAAATGAACTTGCCGAAAAAACGCTTAAGTTTCTAAATATTCTTAAATGTTTGTCTGGGCCAGGGTGGGGTCTACATCCATCACATTTGCGTCGTTTGTATATCGCAATCATAAGAAGCAGAATTGATTATGCTTGTTTCCTCTATGATAGTAGTAGTGTAACGCACCATAAAAAATTAAATTCTTTATTATAGCGTTGTAGATTCGAGCATCTTTTGAAAAGAGGTTAGGTTTTATGTTACTTTTTAGTTACTTTTAAGTTACTTAGGTTACCAGTGTTGTTTATTTTTAAGTTACGTAACATAAAAGTGATGTAAAACTTTGTGTTTAATGCACATTGGAACTTATAGAACAGGGCGTCAATAAAATTATAAAGTTAAATCTCTAAAGAAGTTTTCGCGTAACCAAAAGGTATTTTTTGAAGTCGCATAAACGTGTTACTTCAAAATGTATTTTGAGTGCTGATTTTGTTTTTAATATATTCTTGTTTTAAATTTGAATGTATCATTGTTATGTTAGTTCTCAGGGGTGACAACGCATCTGCGTTTTGATTCTTAATCGAGGATAAATGTAGATGTCTATGGGCCACAGTATCCACATACCATCAGGTGGACTTTGTGCTTGTTTGTCACCCTTATTCTAATTAAAAAAAACCTTCTACTATGCTCTAGGTGCTTAATGCATGCTACTATCAATTTAAAGTTTATGGGACATAAATTAGATTTATTTTTCAAATTTTTGTCTGTTGTCTGTCTGTCCAGGATAATCTTTTAAATGGCTGAACTAATTGGGATAAATCTCTACAAACAGACATAAGCAATGTCAGGAGGGGGTTTTAGGCTATATTTTATACATAAAACTTTTTTTGAATAAGATATAGAATTTTACAAGGAATTCATACATCATATTATTAGTGAAATAATTATGATACATGATGCTTAAAATGTTGTTTTTTTTCTGTGACGGATGCCTCTAACTGTGGCCCAAAAACGAAAAAGATACCGCGAAGAATTAAAAAGAGAAAACCCAGAGAAATATGTACAAATGAAAAAGAAAACTGCGGAACGCGCTTTGCGTTATTATAAAAAAAAAAAACAAGTCAATATACGGAACAGGATAAAGAAGAAAAAAGGCAAAAATGGCGAGATGAAAGGAAAAACTTAAAAAAAGCTCAGTATGATAAAGCAAGATGTGATCTTAATGAGGGTAAAAATGTTGAAAAAGAAAAAATGCATGCAGAATCTAAGCTTCGTAAGGAAAATCATGAACTGAAAAGAGAAATAATAACATTACGCAAGAGATTTGAAGCCTTAAGAAAAAAACATTACCGAAAGTCCAAAAAAGTTGACGAATTAAATAAAGCATTCCAAGAAATTAAAGAAAAATATCAACAAATCACTACAAAACTTAAAGAACATGACTGTACGAAAAATGAAAGAGTTAAAGTGATGGGCAATGACAATGTAACACCTACGAAGCAAGCAGATAACTTCATAAAAGAGAATTTAACGCATATTGACGCCTCGAAAAAAACAGATAGTAAAAAGGAAGCTACTGGAACACAATGTTTTGACAAAATCAGTGAAGGAAGAATACAAAAAATCTGTTGGAACGGAAAAGAACACTTTGAAAAAAAATTGTAACTAGCGAAATTGTGAAAAAATATAAATTGAAAAATAAACTTAAACATACATTAGGACTCAAAACTAACATTAGAAACAATAGAGACAGAAAAGTAAGGAAAAGCGAAATATTAAACGAAATTAATAAATTTTATAACAGAGATAATAATAGCCATGCAACTGCAGGAAAAAGAGAGTGTAAAACTAAAAACAAGTTTGGTTTAGTTTACGACGGGCTGTTTTCCGCAACTCCACGTCTTAGCGCGTATTTTGCGTGTGGGCAGGAATAATATGCTTATTCGAGCCATGATATCTCCCCGAAGAAGCTCAGCGGTCCCTTGATGTTGCAAGCAACTTCGGGGAGCGATCCCGGCGTGCCGAGATGTTACTAAAAACAAAATAAAATTACAGAGAAGATATATATTGGCTACTATAAAAAAAAACTGCATGAAAAATATCTTTCTGAAGGTGGAAAAGTCTCATAAAGCACATTTAAAAAATATAGACCATTTAATATACTCACACCTAAAATCTCAGACCGTGACACATGTGCTTGTGTAAAACACTCTAATATGGCATTTATGATAAAGAAACTTAAGCAGTTGGAAATCCTCGAAAGCGATGACCTCAATTATGTTACATCAAAACTGGTTTGTGACATATCATCTAAGACTTGCATGTTTGGTTTGTGTAAATCTTGTAAAGACAATATCGTTACTGCTAATGAAATTGATTACAATGTAAATGATAAAATTGTATGGCCAATGTGGATGCCAAAAAAATATGAGTACGGCGAAGAAGGAAACAAAAAGACGGCAAACAAAATGGTAAAGGCGGAAAGAGAAGGATCTATAAAAGACTTGTTCAATTTAACTAATTCAGATATAAAAAAAATTCTACATCACTTATACAATATTTCACATCAATTCAAAAATTATAAATTTTGCATAGCTAACTAGAGAAAACGAAACCGTCATACACATTGATTTTTCTGAAAATTATGTTTGCAAGATGCATACAGAAATACAAGGCATGCACTTCGGATCATCTAAGGTACAAATCACTCTGCACACTGGTGTACTTTACTTAAAAAATGAAAACAAACCTAAATCATTTTGCTCAATATCTCCAGCAAATATACATACTCCCGAGGTCATATGGGCTCATTTAAAACCAATACTACAATATTTGAAAGAAACATATCCTCAAGTAGATACATTACATTTACAATACATTTTTTTTCCGATGGCCCTACATCCCAATACCGCAAAAAAAGAATCTTTATTTTCTTAGCCAAATTCAATGTTTTGGCTTCAACCATGCTACTTGGTCTATATTTGAAGCAGCTCATGGAAAAGGCGCTGCAGACGGTATTTGGGGGTGCAGTGAAGCGAACTTTGGACTCAAAAGTGGCACATGGAGAAGATATCCCCGATGCCAAAACTGCCTTTAAAGTTCTTTTCAAAGCAGATTCAGCCATCAAAATGTTTTATATTCCTTCAGAAGACATAAAACCACTTCCAGAAGAAATAGTTAAAAAACTACATCCGCTACTTAACACACTTAAAATACATCAAGTAATATTAAATGAAAGAAATTCAGTAAGCTTTCGAGATTTAAGTTGCTTTTGCAAAAATATGAGTGGTAGATGTGATTGTCATTTTATATAAACACACAGATTTGAAGTTAGCAACGAAAAACTAACGAAAAGCAGAACACGGAAAAACTTAACAAAGAAAAAGGATAAAGGGAAAATAAAGAAAAGGAGAAATAGTTCATCATCAACCAGCAGCGCCGAGTTTTGAAATAGAATATTTAGACGACAGTGATGCCACACATTTTTCTGAGCCTAGTTCTGAAGCAGAATATTTAGGGGAAGAATATTTGGATGTAGAAAAAGAAATATTTAAAGACAGTGTTTTAGAAGAAAAACAGGAGAGAAAGTCGTCTGCGCAAAAAGGAGTCACAATATTATCAAAAATCCGAAATTTACCATGTAACAATATATTTTGACTTAAAACAATTTAATAAACTACAATTTCATAAATTGGATTCTAATTTTGATCTTTTTTCTGCCAAAAAATCATTAGATGTCACAATAACAGAGAATGCTGATCCATACACAAACTCGGTAGCAAGTACTTCTGGAATTAATAAAAACAGTAGTCTTAAAAATTTAAAGGTACCAAAAGTTAGGCAAAATAAACAAATATGTGACTCTAATATAATCAGAAAATCTGACAAATGTGAAATAAAGGAATATCTTTTGAATTCAAAAGAAAATTCTGTAGTCAGATTCGACAAAATTGACAAAGACCTTAAGAAAATAAAAATGGGGGTAGATTTGGATAGTTTAAAAATCTATGAGAACAAAAAAACTAAAGACTGTGAAGAAAGCTGTAAACCGATTTAAATATTACTGTAAAAGCTAACAAAAACGAAAATACTGATGACTTAGAATACAAAGATGAAACAAATATAAAAGATATTAAAATAAACCAAAATGTATTAGTAAGATACTATAATCGTAACAATTGGAAATACTATATAGGACGTGTAGAACAAATAAATATTACAGAAGATAAATATACAGTTAATTTTCTAAAGACAGTAAAACACCCTTCACTGAAATTGCCGTGGACGAAGAAACTAGACCGAGACACTGTTCCTTCTGTGTCGATTGTAAAAGCTATAGAATTAATTACAAATTATAAAAAAACGAATATCTGCTAAGAGATAGTTTTGACATTTGTTACTTTTATTAATCTGTGTTTAAGTTTGAATTTATTTTGATTTATTAGGTTTTAGGAAGGAATAGTGCCATAAAATATCAAGAGTTCAAATAAAAATTATGTAGTACATTATTTTAACGATATATTTTCTGTTGTGAAACAAATATTTTTATGTCTAAGTATTATTAAAGATAGGACTAAATGTAATTTTTTTTTCAAAATAAGACGTTTATATTTTAATTACAGATACAGTAAAGTTGATAAAAATAAAATTGAGTTTTACTAAGGCGGAAGTGAAAAAATTGAATATATTAAATTTTCTCAAATTCTGTGATGATTCCCTATTGTAGATATGCCTTTAGAATATTTTATGTTACTTTTAAGTTACCTGGTAACTTATACTTTTATGTTACATGAGGCCAATTTAACGGCCTTACCCATATAATACGTCATTGGTCAAGGGGTTATTAAAAAACATAGTTATCATAAGTAATTATGAGTTACTTAGTATCTGAGTAGAGTTTGCATGCATGTAATATTTTTTTTACTTTGTAAATAAATAAAAATTTATATAATTGCTTAATATTAATAACATATTAAGAATTCTTCTTCTTCTTCTTGCCCTTATCCCAACATATTTGGGGTTGACATAGTACGTAGGCAGTCCCATAATGAATTGGCCTAACTATGAACCAATGAAGGAATTGAAACGAAACCAATTTTATTTTTCAATATAATCACCATGAATACTAACACACTTCTGGCATCTGTGAATCAACATCTCTAAACCTTTATAAAAATAATCACATTTTTTATCCTCAAAATGACTGAAGACGGCCGCCTGCAACTCTTCATCGCTTGAAAATATTCTTCCTCTTAAGTCCCGCTTTAAATTTGGAAATAAATAATAGTCGGACGGGGCCATGTCTGGACTGTAAGGTGGATGTTGAACTTCTGTGAACCCGCATTGACGAACTGCATCCTTCGAAACACCAGCGGTATGAACAGGGGCGTTGTCATGGAGCAACAGGACACCTTTAGACAGCTTGCCTCTTCGTTTTTCCTTTATCTTGTCTCGTAATTTATATACTAAAGAAGCATAATATTAGCCGTTCACGACTGTATTACTTTCTTTAAAATCCACCATCAAAATGCCTTGAAAATCCCAAAATATTGTGCACATCAGTTTTTTAGTCAATTGTTGCACCTTTGCCTTTCTAGGGGGCTTTTCACCCTTATAACGCCATTCCATTGACTCGCGCTTGCTTTGTGGATCATAATACAAGATCATAGTTTCATCACCAGTCACTAGCCGCTCGATCACAGTCTTTGGATTTTCGCCACAAAGATCCAAAAACTTCGAAGCGCAGCGCACTCTTTCCTGTCTCTGTACCGCTGAAAGAAGTTTCGGTACCCATCTCGCACTCACTTTTTTCATGTGAAGATGTTCATGGATCGCGCGATGAACGGTACTCTTAGAGAGCCCAAGCCTTGCTGTAATTTCTCTAATCTTCAAACGGCGGTCACTCAGAACCTCCTCTTCGATAAGAGCAATCGTTTCGGGAGTGAGCACTTCCACAGGTCGACCGTCGTGGCCAAAGTCTTCGACGGTTTCTCTCCCGAGGCGAAACTCTCACCCAATTTTTCACTGTGCTATAGGAGGGGGCATACTCCTTATACACGCCATCCAATCGTTCTTTTATTTGGGCAGGGGATAAACCTTCTTTAAACAGAAACTTTATGACGCTTCGATACTCAGTTTTCGACATTTTGAAAAAATACGCGACTCTCGTTATTCAAATGCCTGTTAAACTAAGACTAAGCATTTCATGTCGATGCATGTTTCTTATATTAAGTGCACGATAAACGTACTATTTAATGCAACACAACATGTAGCGACATGTCGCGTTGAACTATATCAGGCCAGTTCATTATGGGACCGCCTGGTACATCTACAAGTTCCTTTTGAAGTCATACTTTTGCAAGGCTTGGCTTAGTTTTTAGTTTTTACAACCACCTGCCTGCCTGTCATTAACCCTACCCGGAAAGTTTTCTTTAAGCTTTTGGCTAAATATTCATAATTTTAGGAGTCACTGATAAAATACTAGAAATCATGCTGATATAAAATTTTAATGAGCGAGTATTATTTACTACAATAAGACAATATCACAAAATTTGATTGAATTTACAACAAAATTTTGATACTATAATATATTAAAAAAATTAACATAATATATTAACAATTATTAATAATATTTTCAGGCAGTCATGCTGATGTGCCAATACAAAATGAACAAAGTGCCTCAACAAACATAATGTCTGAAAAATCTCTAGGTCTACCGGAAGTATCTGACGATAATCAGTCCATGTCAGGTATGTTTGCTATTTTATATATTTTAGTATTAGTACAACAATCTATAACTATCTGTGAATACCATAAATTATAACTAAAAAAACTCTTAGAATTTATAACTAATATTATTAATATATAACTGTCTACCAAAAAGGCTGAACCAAATGCATACTTATTTACAATGGGAGAACATAAATGTAATGTACATATAAAAAATATACATAAAAATTGATAATGTTTTTTAAGTGTGTTAAAAATATTGCCAAGTTATTCAAGGTGATAACCTCGTGAAGATTTATAAAAATCTATGCAGTAGTGCCAGTTTTCAAAGGGACAGACAGACAGACAAAAATAAAAATAGGCTTCTACAAAAATATAGGAGTTTTTTTTTCCTTTTTTATAGGATAGGGTGACAAACGAGCACACGCTCCACCTGATGGTAAGTGGTTGCTGTGGCCCATAGACATCTACATCTATCCTCGATTACGAATCAAAATGCAGATGCGTTGTCACCAGTGAGGACTAAGATGTAATGCCTCTTTTCCTGTAAAAAGGGGTCTCCGGTTCTCTACACTCACCATACAAAACACAGCAGCAATAAGCTACTATTTCACGCTGGTATTCTGTGAGAGCCTTCCCCGGTCGGCCGACCCATTCGTGCTACAACTATAACTACTAATATAACTGCAGCATGGCTCTACCACGTATAAACAATTACATTATATAACAGTTTTATAATAATAAGTATAACTTTACTGTAACATAATTAAGAGAAAAATTGCAAAAAATAAACGAAAATCCATCTTATAGTCTAGCAGTGCAGTGTTTATTATTTAATATAGAAAACATAAAAATAGTCTTTATTTCTAGTTTCATTTATTTTTTATCTTTTAGTTTAGGTCTCCTCCAACTTCTTTCATTCTCTATCAGCTGTCCTAGAGTCACCTTTAATTTATTTACCCATTTTGTTGTAGATATTTTATTTAGTGTTGTTTACTAATTAACATTTAAATGATCAATTCTATTTTTCCGACAATGTTGCTGATGTCCAGACACAAATTAAAGCAGGTTTCCCGATAGCCACAATGTGTGAACAATCTGCTGTTCAAACTGACAATTATCAGTGTACATTAGGTAGTTTGCTATTTTATATTTTTTTGAATATTCTAATATTCTAACAACAATTCCTCTGCAACTACCTGTGATTTCATACTGTATGTATAAGCTGATAAGCTCAGTTCAGCCATGAGAGTTCTCTTGATGAGTATTTAGATAAGATTTGTAGTGGATAGATGAGTTTTTAAGGCTCCTGATAATAACATATTAACTGTTAAAACACATACAATAAAGATATTGTGCATTATATAGCAGGAAACCCAGTGTTTGCTTCTCACTGAGGCTAAGTATAGCCATTTGGTGAGAAAATAATAATAAATATTTAAAAAAAAATAGACAAAATATTATTGGTAACCTATAATATATTTTAATAAAGTCATTTCAATAAGTAGTTTAATAAAATCTACCAATTTTTCAGATCAATCTCCTGAAGTATCTTTCAATCCCCTGGTGGAGCATAACTATTGTAAACACTCAAAGGAGCATCGTAATATAAAAAGTAAGGATAAATTTTCATTTAACATATCTATATTGTGTATTGACAGTGTAAAAACATCCATTACTCCATATCGTACCCCATGTGTCGCAAGAGGCGACAGAGAGTAGGGGGCAGCAGTATTTTACTCTTAACAACTGAAAACAATAAAAAACATCCATTACTCCATATCGTACCCCATGTGTCGCAAGAGGCGACAGAGAGTAGGGGGCAGCAGTATTTTACTCTTAACTGAAAACAATAAAAAACATCCATTACTCCATATCGTACCCCATGTGTCGCAAGAGGCGACAGAGAGTAGTGGGCAGCAGTATTTTACTCTTAACTGAAAACAATAAAAAACATCCATTACTCCATATCGTACCCCATGTGCCGCAAGAGGCGATAGAGAGTAGGGGGCAGCAGTATTTTACTCTTAACAACTGAAAACAATAAAAAACATCCATTACTCCATATCGTACCCCATGTGTCGCAAGAGTCGACAGAGAGTAGGGGGCAGCAGTATTTTACTCTTAACAACTGAAAACAATAAAAAACATCCATTACTCCATATCGTACCCCATGTGTCGCAAGAGGCGACAGAGACTAGGGGGCAGCAGTATTTTACTCTTAACAACTGAAAACAATAAAAAACATCCATTACTTCCATATCGTACCCCATGTGTCGCAAGAGGCGACAGAGAGTAGGGGGCAGCAGTATTTTACTCTTAACAACTGAAAACAATAAAAAACATCCATTACTCCATATCGTACCCCATGTGTCGCAAGAGGCGACAGAGAGTAGGGGGCAGCAGTATTTTACTCTTAACAACTGAAAACAATAAAAAACATCCATTACTCCATATCGTACCCCATGTGTCGCAAGAGGCGACAGAGAGTAGGGGGCAGCAGTATTTTACTCTTAACAACTGAAAACAATAAAAAACATCCATTACTCCATATCGTACCCCATGTGTCGCAAGAGGCGACAGAGAGTAGGGGGCAGCAGTATTTTACTCTTAACAACTGAAAACAATAAAAAACATCCATTACTCCATATCGTACCCCATGTGTCGCAAGAGGCGACAGAGAGTAGGGGGCAGCAGTATTTTACTCTTAACAACTGAAAACAATAAAAAACATCCATTACTCCATATCGTACCCCATGTGTCGCAAGAGGCGACAGAGAGTAGGGGGCAGCAGTATTTTACTCTTAACAACTGAAAATAATAAAAAAACATCCATTACTCCATATCGTACCCCATGTGTCGCAAGAGGCGACAGAGAGTAGGGGCCAGAGTATTTTACTCTTAACAACTGAAAACAATAAAAAACATCCATTACTCCATATCGTACCCCATGTGTCGCAAGAGGCGACAGAGAGTAGGGGGCAGCAGTATTTTACTCTTAACAACTGAAAACAATAAAAAACATCCATTACTCCATATCGTACCCCATGTGTCGCAAGAGGCGACAGAGAGTAGGGGGCAGCAGTATTTTACTCTTAACAACTGAAAACAATAAAAAACATCCATTACTCCATATCGTACCCCATGTGTCGCAAGAGGCGACAGAGAGTAGGGGGCAGCAGTATTTTACTCTTAACAACTGAAAACAATAAAAAACATCCATTACTCCATATCGTACCCCATGTGTCGCAAGAGGCGACAGAGAGTAGGGGGCAGCAGTATTTTACTCTTAACAACTGAAAACAATAAAAAACATCCATTACTCCATATCGTACCCCATGTGTCGCAAGAGGCGACAGAGAGTAGGGGGCAGCAGTATTTTACTCTTAACAACTGAAAACAATAAAAAACATCCATTACTCCATATCGTACCCCATGTGTCGCAAGAGGCGACAGAGAGTAGGGGGCAGCAGTATTTTACTCTTAACAACTGAAAACAATAAAAAACATCCATTACTCCATATCGTACCCCATGTGTCGCAAGAGGCGACAGAGAGTAGGGGGCAGCAGTATTTTACTCTTAACAACTGAAAACAATAAAAAACATCCATTACTCCATATCGTACCCCATGTGTCGCAAGAGGCGACAGAGAGTAGGGGGGCAGCAGTATTTTACTCTTAACAACTGAAAACAATAAAAAACATCCATTACTCCATATCGTACCCCATGTGTCGCAAGAGGCGACAGAGAGTAGGGGGCAGCAGTATTTTACTCTTAACAACTGAAAACAATAAAAAACATCCATTACTCCATATCGTACCCCATGTGTCGCAAGAGGCGACAGAGAGTAGGGGGCAGCAGTATTTTAATCTTAACAACTGAAAACAATAAAAAACATCCATTACTCCATATCGTACCCCATGTGTCGCAAGAGGCGACAGAGAGTAGGGGGCAGCAGTATTTTACTCTTAACAATTGAAAACAATAAAAAACATCCATTACTCCATATCGTACCCCATGTGTCGCAAGAGGCGACAGAGAGTAGGGGGCAGCAGTATTTTACTCTTAACAACTGAAAACAATAAAAAAACATCCATTACTCCATATCGTACCCCATGTGTCGCAAGAGGCGACAGAGAGTAGGGGGCAGCAGTATTTTACTCTTAACAACTGAAAACAATAAAAAACACCCATTACTCCATATCGTACCCCGTGTGTCGCAAGAGGCGACAGAGAGTAGGGGGCAGCAGTATTTTACTCTTAACAACTGAAAACAATAAAAAACATCCATTACTCCATATCGTACCCATGTGTCGCAAGAGGCGACAGAGAGTAGGGGGCAGCAGTATTTTACTCTTAACAACTGAAAACAATAAAAAACATCCATTACTCCATATCGTACCCCATGTGTCGCAAGAGGCGACAGAGAGTAGGGGGCCAGCAGTATTTTACTCTTAAAAACTGAAAACAATAAAAAACATCCATTACTCCATATCGTACCCCATGTGTCGCAAGAGGCGACAGAGAGTAGGGGGCAGCAGTATTTTACTCTTAACAACTGAAAACAATAAAAAAACATCCATTACTCCATATCGTACCCCATGTGTCGCAAGAGGCGACAGAGAGTAGGGGGGCAGCAGTATTTTACTCTTAACAACTGAAAACAATAAAAAACATCCATTACTTCATATCGTACCCCATGTGTCGCAAGAGGCGACAGAGAGTAGGGGGCAGCAGTATTTTACTCTTAACAACTGAAAACAATAAAAAAACATCCATTACTCCATATCGTACCCCATGTGTCGCAAGAGGCGACAGAGAGTAGGGGCCAGCAGTATTTTACTCTTAACAACTGAAAACAATAAAAAACACATCCATTACTCCATATCGTACCCCATGTGTCGCAAGAGGCGACAGAGAGTAGGGGGCAGCAGTATTTTACTCTTAACAACTGAAAACAATAAAAATACATCCATTACTCCATATCGTACCCCATGTGTCGCAAGAGGCGACAGAGAGTAGGGGGCAGCAGTATTTTACTCTTAACAACTGAAAACAATAAAATACATCCATTACTCCATATCGTACCCCATGTGTCGCAAGAGGCGACAGAGAGTAGGGGGCAGCAGTATTTTACTCTTAACAACTGAAAACAATAAAAAACATCCATTACTCCATATCGTACCCCATGTGTCGCAAGAGGCGACAGAGAGTAGGGGGCAGCAGTTTTTTACTCTTAACAACTGAAAACAATAAAAAACACCCATTACTCCATATCGTACCCCATGTGTCGTAAGAGGCGACAGAGAGTAGGGGGCAGCAGTATTTTACTCTTAACAACTGAAAACAATAAAAAACATCCATTACTCCATATCGTACCCCATGTGTCGCAAGAGGCGACAGAGAGTAGGGGCAGCAGTATTTTACTCTTAACAACTGAAAACAATAAAAAACATCCATTACTCCATATCGTACCCCATGTGTCGCAAGAGGCGACAGAGAGTAGGGGGCAGCAGTATTTTACTCTTAACAACTGAAAACAATAAAATACATCCATTACTCCATATCGTACCCCATGTGTCGCAAGAGGCGACAGAGAGTAGGGGGCAGCAGTATTTTACTCTTAACAACTGAAAACAATATAAAACATCCATTACTCCATATCGTACCCCATGTGTCGCAAGAGGCGACAGAGAGTAGGGGGCAGCAGTATTTTACTCTTAACAACTGAAAACAATAAAAAACACCCATTACTCCATATCGTACCCCATGTGTCGTAAGAGGCGACAGAGAGTAGGGGGCAGCAGTATTTTACTCTTAACAACTGAAAACAATAAAAAACACCCATTACTCCATATCGTACCCCATGTGTCGTAAGAGGCGACAGAGAGTAGGGGGCAGCAGTATTTTACTCTTAACAACTGAAAACAATAAAAAACATCCATTACTCCATATCGTACCCCATGTGTCGCAAGAGGCGACAGAGAGTAGGGGGCAGCAGTATTTTACTCTTAACAACTGAAAACAATAAAAAACACCCATTACTCCATATCGTACCCCATGTGTCGTAAGAGGCGGCAGAGAGTAGGGGGCAGCAGTATTTTACTCTTAACAACTGAAAACAATAAAAAACATCCATTACTCCATATCGTACCCCATGTGTCGCAAGAGGCGACAGAGAGTAGGGGGCAGCAGTATTTTACTCTTAATAACTGAAAACAATAAAAAACATCCATTACTCCATATCGTACCCCATGTGTCGCAAGAGGCGACAGAGAGTAGGGGGCAGCAGTATTTTACTCTTAACAACTGAAAACAATAAAAAACATCCATTACTCCATATCGTACCCCATGTGTCGCAAGAGGCGACAGAGAGTAGGGGGCAGCAGTATTTTACTCTTAACAACTGAAAACAATAAAAAACATCCATTACTCCATATCGTACCCCATGTGTCGCAAGAGGCGACAGAGAGTGGGGGCAGCAGTATTTTACTCTTAACAACTGAAAACAATAAAATACATCCATTACTCCATATCGTACCCCATGTGTCGCAAGAGGCGACAGAGAGTAGGGGGCAGCAGTATTTTACTCTTAACAACTGAAAACAATAAAATACATCCATTACTCCATATCGTACCCCATGTGTCGCAAGAGGCGACAGAGAGTAGGGGGGCAGCAGTATTTTACTCTTAACAACTGAAAACAATATAAAACATCCATTACTCCATATCGTACCCCATGTGTCGTAAGAGGCGACAGAGAGTAGGGGGCAGCAGTATTTTACTCTTAACAACTGAAAACAATAAAAAAAACACCCATTACTCCATATCGTACCCCATGTGTCGTAAGAGGCGACAGAGAGTAGGGGGCAGCAGTATTTTACTCTTAACAACTGAAAACAATAAAAAACTACGGTTGACCCTTGTAGTAAATATCACAGTGCACAAACATGAATGAAGTTGTCAATTGCAATTTTACATTATGATTTACCACATGTTCATCCACAAAGGAAAACATTGTGAGGAAGGAGGAAAATGTTTGAGAAATCAGAATAATTTCAAAATGATGTGGATTTCACCAACGTGCTTTGGGGCAGCAGGAAGACAATTCTTTGCCTTATATAGGATGCAATTTTACCCTTTTTATAGAAAATAATATCCCATCTGTATTTAATAAATTCCACATAGAAGCATGATAACACTGACCTGGGGACTGAACCCGGGACCCCATGATGGGTAATCGCTCTTGCGGCTACTAGACCAATGAAGTGATTCAATTCATTTTCATTATTAGAGCCATTTATTTCCGAACTTTGGGGTTACATAATATTTGTGTTTGAGTTCCTATTGTAATACTAGTTAAAGTAAGTCCCTCAGTTCGGTGTGCCTTTTGGCATAGGCCTCCTCCAACTACTGCCATTGGGTTCTGTCTGCTGCTACCCTTATCCAGTATGGTCCCAAGGTTAGGCGGATATCGTCTTCCCATCTTCTGATTGGGCGGCCCTGTTTTCTGATCTCTTGGGTACCATAGGGTTACCTGCTTGCTTCATTTATTGGTCTTGCAACGAATCATGTGACCTGTCCAGCCCCATTTCAGATGGTCGATTCGGGTCAGAATGTCAGCAACCTTGGTATTATTTCTTATTTCCTTGTTGTTAATTCTATCCTTGAGTTTTATATCCAACATACTCCTCTCCATTGGTCGTAGACATTTCGCAAGTTTCTCCCGGTGGTTTTGCTTGAGGGACCACGTCTCACAACCATATGTGATGCAGAGGAGAATACAGGTGTTAAATGTTTTCTTCTTGATATAGATGCTTAGCTCTTTACTTTTCATTATTTCTCTCAGAAATCAGTATTTTTTCCAACCACTAGCAATCCTTTTGTTAATTTCCTTAGATGTTTGGTCACTAGGGGCAATTAATTGACCCAAGTACACATACTCTTGCACATATTCAAGTCTTTTTCCATCTAATTCTATGTTGACTTTTGTAGAGTTGGTCATCAGTTTTATTTCGATTGTGTTCATTTCGAGACCTGCTTCTTTGCTTCTGTTGGCTAGAGTTTGTACCATTGCTTGTAGTTTACTTGGGTCTTCTTCCAGCAAGATAATATCGTCAGCAAACCTCAAAGGATTTAAAAGACTGCCATTGATGTTAAGGCCATATTCATCCCAGTCTAGTCTTCTGAAGATATCCTCCAGCACAGCCGTAAACAGTTTGGGGGACAGTGGGTCTCCCAGTATCCAAAGTATGAGAAAAGACAGGAAGATAAAAATAATTAAAAAAACTAGAAGACACAATTAAAAGAACAGGCGGAACGAAAAAATTTTTAAGGAGTTAAAGGACCATGGAAAGGAATTGATTCCTAGACTTAAAAGCAACAAATCCAATCATGTAACAAAACGTAAAGAAATTCAGAAAGTAGCTACAGAATATTATAAAGCTCTCTACTCGAATATAGATGAAGACCATGAATTAGAAACCAATATGTCGCCAACAAATAGATATGATGACGTACCGCCCATACTTATAGCAGAGGTAAAGAGAGCCATACACTCTCAAAAACTAGAAAGAGCTCCAGGGCTGGACAACATACCAAATGAGCTCATGAGGGGCACGGCAGAAGAACTGGCTCTAATTCTCACCAGGATATTTAACGACATACTCAAGTCGGGCGTCATTCCAAATCAGTGGGGAGAGTCCCAAATAATTCTCCTGCATAAAAAAGGGCCTAGGGAAGTCATTGACAATTATAGACCAATTAGTTTGATCTCAAACGTCTATAAGGTGTTCGCAAAAGTATTGCCAGAAAAAATTACAAAAACTCTAGACGCAAATCAACCCATAGAGCAGGCAGGCTTTAGAAAAAACTACAGCACAATTGACCACATTCACACTATCAAACAAATATTGGAAAAAATTAATGAATACCAAAAACCCGTTTACATAGCTTTTATACAGGGTGGGCCAGAAAGAATTGCGAATTTGAAAAAATCATTAAAAAAAAAACTAAGTACAATTCACATACAAATTTTTATTTCTACAAAAATTTACATCTGGGAAATTCATTTCTTAAAAATAACATCATCCAGATGTGCACCATCGCGCTGCAAACATCTTCGAATCTGAACCTCAAATTGGTAAAAACTCGCTGGCACATTGCACGGGGAATATCTGCCATTTCTTTCCGGATATTGGTCTTCAACTGGTCAATTTTGGCTGGGTTATTGGAGTAGACTCTACTTTTTAGGTATCCCCACAAAAAAAAGTCCAGTGGTGTAAGATCCGGACTTCTAGGAGGCCATTCAATGTCACCTCGGCGCGATATCAGTTTCTCACCAAACATCTCGTTTACGACCGTCAAAGAGGCATTAGCTGTGTGGCATGTCGCGCCATCTTGTTGAAACCATGTCGCACGATTATAGGCTTCAAATTGTTGCAGTTGTGGAAAGAAAAAATCCCTTAACATGGCTATGTATCGGTCAGAATTTACAGTGACAGATTGGCCTTGTCGATTTTCGAAGAAGTGGGGTCCGATAATTCCGTGCGCTGACATGGCCGCCCAAACGGTTACTTTCGGCGAATGTAGAGGCTTTTGATGTTTTGCACGTGGGTTCTCTGCAGCCCAGTAACGGCAATTCTGTTTCTTCACCTGCCCATTTATGTGAAAATGGGCTTCGTCGGAGAACAGAATATTGTTGAAACTCCGAAAGCGTTCCAGCATCGTTTCAAGAAAAGCTCTCCTTAAAATTGGATCATTTGGCTGTAATTCCTGCATAAGTTGAATTTTATACGGATGCAATTTCAGATCTTTCAACAAAATGCGACGCAAAGATATTCTGGACACCACAAGTTCGGCTGAACGCTTTCGAGTCGATAGAACAGGATTACGTTGAACTGAAGCTCTAACTTGTTCAATTGTGTCTTTCGTTTTTGTTGACCTTGGGCGTCCCGCAGGCTTCTGTTTGAGAGTCGAACCAGTAGCTTCGAACTTTCTAACCCACGATCGAATCACGCTTTCCTTCGGACACTGATTTAGGTCATGTAATCCAAACTCACGTCGAAATAAACGCCGAACAATAGCGCACGAATCGTGATTTTTACAATAATGTTTAACGCAGAAAGCACGTTGCGCTCCCGTGAAGTGATCCATCGCGACTAAATTTCCGAGAACCGAGCTACTTAACCCCACCACCCGCGCAGTCCCCTCTCTAAAGCTTCAAATGCAAGAGTGTTTTTAAAATCGTACTCCTTTCTGGCCCACCCGTTAGACTACTCAAAAGCATTTGACAGTTTGAAACATAAATACATTTGGTCAGCTTTGAGATGGCAAGGAGTAGATAATACCTATATTGAGATACTCAGAAACATTTATAGCATCAGCAAAAGGCGCATCAAACTGGAAATCGAAAGGAGACTTATTTCCCATTAATAGAGGCGTCAGACAAGGAGACCCACGGTCCCCCAAATTCATTTTCATTATATTTGCAAAAAAATAGATGCAACAATAAAATCTAAAAAAAAAGTTTTAGTTAACCACACCCTCACCAAAATCTTTAATAGCCAGTATAATACAGGCTGTGAGGAATTCCATCTTAGTCCTCGGAGGTGACAACACAATTGTAGCCTTCTTTCTCCGAAGTTGGTTGCGGATGTCTATGGGCTACATTAACCACTTACTGTCAGGTAGACTATCAGCTTGTTTGTCACTTCAATTCTATAATATAATATGTAATGTAGCGGTCAAACTTGAACTCATTACAAAAATAAAAATATAAACCTCTAATTGTAATAATGTATTACTTTAATTCATTGTATTATTTGATTTTCAGATTGGAAAAGTAACTTACCATCAGTGGTAACACCTGAAAAATATAGAGTCCACCAACAAAATATAAAGACTTTAAGAAGACAGGTTTATCGTCTTAGAAAACAGGGAAAAGACATAAAGTCACAGCTAGAAAACGCAGTGTAACTACACTTACCTACCTATGTAACTAGTACACTTAGTATAGTACCTATATAACTGAATTGTAGTCAGTGACGATCGGGCCGGCACTGTTGTTATACGCAAATGAAATGTAATTAAACGCTATCTCTTACAAGGACTTATTTCATTTCACGACATACTACACAGACATTAGTTAAAGTGATGACCTCGACGTGATCCAGTGCTGTGCTCTCCTATGCCTGTGTAGTTTATAACGTCAAAAATGACGTCCAGGGAAGAGAAACTGGAAGCGAAGATATCTCAAATAACGGTTTCGTCGAGAATCCCGGAATTTTGGGAAGATCAGCCGCGCACGTGGTTCATACAGGCCGAATTCGTACTATACGACCAGAAGCTCTCGGATGCTGCTAAATACCATCTGGTTATTGCAAAGCCGTGTAGTGGCGGTTTTGAATATCCACTACCCCATATCTTCCCGTGGGTGTCGTAAGAGGCGACAGAGGGACACAGAAAGGAGATGGGCAGCAGTATCTTCCTAATAACAACAATAATATAATAAAAAACTGTGGTTTCCAACCCGCTCGCCAAGCGTGGCAACTATGGCAATATACCCCCATGAAGAATTACACGAATAGACGGCCCCCAGTCCCCGGCGGCCCCGCTATTCCTGGCTACGGTGGCGACCATGGTAACGGCGGGGCAGGGGGTGCTAAGAATCTCCGGTGGAGGTTCGGTTGCCACCTACGACGACTCGACCTGGCAACGTATAACGCACGCACCCTGAGGACTGACGAGAAGATACTGGAGTTGGAAGAAGAGGTAGACAAGTTGCGCTGGCATATTATCGGGTTATCCGAGGTCCGAAGAGAGGGGGAGGACACGGTAATCCTCGAGTTCGGCAACTTGTTCTATCACCGGGAGGGTGACCATCTGTCCCAAGGAGGTGTCGGATTTATCGTCCACAAGTCTCTCGTCAACAACGTTGTGAAGATTGGGAGTGTGTCGACGAGGGTCGCGTACCTGATACTCAGAATCACCAAACGGTATTCGCTGAAGGTCATACAGGTTTACGCACCAACCTCGGCACATCCCGATGAGGAGGTGGAGGAAATGTATGAGGATATTTCCAGAGCCATGCATTCCTCCAAAACCCACTACACGGTGTTGATGGGAGACTTCAACGCAAAACTAGGCACAAGAGAAAGCGGTGAGCTGAAGGTAGGGAAATTTGGAGTAGGGCAACGGAACCGTAGGGGCCAGCAGCTGGCCGACTTTATGGAGAAAGAGGGACACTTTATGATGAACTCTTTCTTCCAGAAGCGGCCCCACAGGAAGTGGACCTGGTCGAGCCCCGACGGTTCGACAAAAAATGAGATTGACTTCATTATGACGACCAGACGCCAACTGTTCAGTGATGTCTCAGTGATCGCAAGGGTGAAAACTGGCAGCGATCACCGAATGGTTAGAGGCACACTGAACCTAAACGTTAAGTTGGAGAGGTCTCGTCTAATGAAGTCAACGCTCCGTCCCCCTCGTGCTCTAATCCAGAATCCCGAAACCTTTCAGCTCGAGTTACGTAACCGCTTTCAGTGTCTAGAAGATTGCAATGCAGCGGACGATATGAATGACAAGCTCGTGGAAACTGTCCATGCGGTCGGAGCTAAGTTCTGCAAGACCGGCCGCAGAAGAACACAAAAGCTCTCCGATCACACTCTTAATCTCATGGCTGTTAGACGGGAGATGAGGCTGCAATCGTCAACAGATTTGACAGCATACAGGCAACTGAACAGACAGATCTCCAAATGCATGCGGCGAGACTTACGCAAATTTAATACTGCTCGTATTGAAGAAGCGATTGAGCGGAACCAGGGCTTCAAAGTCTTTGCCAGAGATCTGTCTGCCAGTAAGAGCCAACTGTCAAAGCTGAAGACTGAGTGTGGCAGCATCGTTTCCGGGACACCTGAGATTCTGAGTGAGATTGAGAGGTTCTATGGGCAGCTGTACACATCATCGTTGGAGCCACACGCAAGTGTGAGTAACGATCCAAGAGCGGGTCTTATCCGACACTATTCTGAGCGAGATTAGAATAGAGAGCGAGTCAGTCTGAGCGAGATTAGAATGGCTCTCCAGCACCTTAAAAACGGTAAGTCCCAGGGCGAGGATGGAATTACAGCGGAGCTTCTGAAAACGGCTGGACCACCGGTACTTGAAGTCCTTCAGAGGCTCTTTAATTCCGTCCTCCATGGTGGCACTACGGAGGCGTGGAGCACAAGTGCGGTGGTCTTGTTCTTCAAGAAAGGTGACAGCGCCCTCTTGAAGAACTACAGACCGATATCCCTTCTGAGCCGCGTCTAGGTGCTGTTTTCGAGAGTCATTACGAATCGTCTCGCACGCAGACTCGACGACTTCCAGCCTCCCGAACAAGCCGGTTTCCTAAAAGGCTTTAGCACCATAGACCACATACATACCCTTCGGCAAATTGTACAGAAGTCCGAAGAGTACAATCTGCCACTTTGCCTGGCGTATGTGGACTATGAGAAAGCCTTTGATTCCGTCGAAATTTGGGCGGTGCTACAGTCTCTTCAGCGGTAACAAGTTGACTGTCGGTATATCGAAGTGCTGAAGTGTTTGTACAGTAGGGCTACGATGGCTATCCGAGTACAGAACCAGAGTACGAAACCTATCCAACTGCAGAGAGGTGTAAGACAGGGTGACGTTATTTCCCCGAAACTCTTCACCGCTGCATTGGAAGATGTTTTCAAGCTACTGGACTGGAAAGGATACGGTATTAACATCAATGGCGAGTACATCACTCACCTTCGATTTGCCGACGATATAGTCCTTATGGCAGAATCGCTGGAGGACTTAATTTCTTCCTGATATATAGAGGCCTGATATAGCTATCTATAGTCAACAAAATATTGAGATTAGTTCAAGGGATATGATACCAGACGGCGACACTATTCATATTGGGTGACAAAAAAATCCGGGAATCCTGGAAATGGCTCTCTAACTCATCTAACTTTAGTGAGGTGAGTGTGTTATTTTAATATGTTTCTCTCGTGGAATTCGATAATAAAGAAATTTCTTATTCTATTCCTCGGGACCTCTAAATCAGGATGAATAGTATCCTATATGTTAATTCTGGTAATAAACTATTTGTGTGTCAAATTATTACATTCAAACTGGTCTGATACTTTTGGCGTAATTGAGGAACAAACAAACATTCAAACTTTTGCATTTATTATAGTTTGATTAGTGTGAGTATGGTGACTATGCCTAATTTACTGTCTAATAACAAACAAAAATTCTTTAATAAGTATTTCTTATTTAGTAATTCCCGGGAAATAATTGTAATATCAATAATAGATGGTTACATCATAAAAATAAAAAAACGACTGCTTAAAAGTAATGAACTGAAAACATAAGTATAACTTATAGAAATATATATATATATATATATATATATATATATATATATATATATATCAGTAACCTCTCTTAATTTCCTTTATTTTGATACCGTCATGAAGTGATGATTGGATTAATTTAATTTAATTATGTATTTTAAACTTTGTGCGTACCAGAAATAGAAATGAAATTACAAGAAATGAAAAAGCAATAAATTAGTAAAATTTATAATTTTATTAAACATGCGTGCATAACACAGAAGATAATGTGATCTCATGCTGTGGACCACACAGTACTTTCAATCCAGTCAAGGTACTTGGAGACACGAGTGTACACTCCGGGCACAGGTGAGCCGCAACCACTCCCGAACGAAGTCACGCCCACCAGCCTGTAGTGACCGTCTAACCCCGTTAGTCCTTGCAACGGACCACCCGAGTCACCCTGAAACCATGATATTATACTTTTTGACGAAAACTACTGTGTTGTATTCGTGCATCATAGATTTTATAAAAATCGTAACATTCTTTGCAATTTTATGTTCCACTGGGGATGAAGGCACAATGCACTGCTATGAGATCTTTAATAGGGTACCTATACCGTAACGGCCTATCGAAGATCCAATGTTGAACTCTTACTCTTTCATAGGGGTTGGGGGATATTTGCCATTGTTACCATTCTTGGCAGGCGGGTTTTTTAAATTTTTTTTAGATGTTATTTGAAAGACGCTGCTGTCGTTTCCATGTTATAGATCTTATTTTAGTTAGTAAACCAGCGAGAAATGTAGTCTTTGTTTTTGAAAAAAAAAAGAAAGATGACGATTATGTAAAAGTAAAGTTACAGCCATATAAGTCCCACTGCTGGGCACAGGCCTCCTTTCATTTCTGAGAGGGTTTTAGGGCAAGGAAGCGTCCGCCGCGCTGCCCCAATGCGTATTGGCGAACTTCACATGTCTTCGAAATATTTTTTTTATATTTCGTAGAAAAATGTACTTGTGAGCGTTAAGGCAATGTTGGCAATGCGTTCGCCTATTTGCGTGACGTTTACGACAAATCCTTACATTTTTTTTATAGAATAAGAGTGACAAACGAGGTCAAAGTCCTCTTGATGGTAAGTGGATGTTGTGGTCTATAGTCGTAGCCCATAGTCCACATCTACCCTCGATCAAGAATCAAAGTGTAGATGCGTTGTCACCCCTGAGGACTAAGATGCAGTGCCTTGTTTCCAATAAAAAAGGACTCCGGTTCTCTACACTCACCATACGAAACACAGCAGCATTAAGCTGCTGTTTTACTCTGATATTCTGTGAAAGCGTGGACCTAACTCTGTCAAGCCGACCCATTATTGTTACAACCATAATATAGCTGCAGCATGACTCTACCACGTGAAAAATACGAGAGAGTTCCATATTCAGCATTCAATTCTTACAACTTGGGTACGAAAAAAACGAAAATGATATTAGGTATAGTCTAACCAGTATTTACCTGACAAGTGTCCATAACGCCTGACAAGTCTCCGGCGCATAATTGTTCATTTACAATGCCGTTGGGCAACTTGCGTGATTTTGAATACTTGAGGTTGCAACTTTCTTGTGGCACTATATTTAGTGTTGCCTTTAGCAACAAATTACTAGTCGCAGCTCCTGAAATCATTCACCATCAATATATGTTAGTGAATAGTCTTCTTCTGCTATTTTTAATTTCTATTTTTTACCGTGAACAAAGACCTGCCCATTAGAGGGAGGACCCTATGAGGCGATCTATTGTCATATTAGCCACGCTAGTGTAACGCGCAGGTGGCTCGACAGCAGCACATTATTTTTTATTTTTAATCGTGATCAGAAAGCGCTCCTGTCCGTCTCCTGCCTGTTTTCCACTGTAGCTATTTACGACAGCTACGGGACGATATAGGGTAGTGGATACTCTGTACGATACTTTTTATTTTTAGATACAAAAAAAATAGTAGTATATTTAAAAAAACATCGCGATAAAATAACCTATATAAATAAGATATATTCATATTCCACCGCCTCGTTGGTCTAGTGGTTGTAGTAGTGCGACTGCTGATCATGAGGTCCTGGGTTCGAATCCCGGGTCGTCAATTAACTCAATTATTGAGTTTTTCTGTTAAGAAATCCCAGTAGCTGCCCGGAGTCAGGAAGTTGGCGGTGTCTCACCCCAGTGCCTCGGAAAGCATGTAAAGCCGTTGGTCCTGCGCCTGATCTCTCTCCCGGTCGTGTCCGGGATCGGTCGGGTCGTGTCGGGGGGTCGGTTTACCGTCCCATCGGATTACGAGAATGAGGGAATAGAGAGTGCACATGTGCTTGCGCGTACACTTGGGCACTATAATCCTGTCCTGCGCCGATGGGTAGCCTCCGTTGAGGTCGGCCGCCGTGGCCGAAATTCGGTCTGGAGGACATTATTATTATTATTAGTCTATTCTTATCTGGTTGGGCTGAATAAATATATTAAAGGAAATGATAAATATACATAAATATATATTTCATATACCAGCACAAATAAATAAGTAATACATAAATAAATAAAAGCCCAACCAGATGGAGGTCCTCGGCAGGGGAGATCAAACGGCCGAGGATTAGGGGGAAAGGGAGAGAAACCGGCGGACGATGCGGGCGGTATCGAGGAGCACCGCCTTCTGCATTTGAGCCTGGAGCGGTCCGTCACGAAGTCCCAGCCTCCTCAGATGACCCGAGAGGCTGACTGGGATTAGCCCGTTTGCAGAAACGACTACAGGAATAATTTCAGTCGGCAGACCACCCCACATGTCGGTCACCTCGTAAGCCAGGTCCAGATATTTTGTTCCCCTTTTTACTGGAAACGAGGCATTCCATCTTAGTCCTCACGGGTGACAACGCATCTGCATTTTGATTCGTAATCGAGGATAGATGTAGATGTCTATGGGCCACAGCAACCACTTACCATCAGGTGGACTCTGTGCTCGTTTGTCACCCTATCCTATAAAAAAAATACGGAATGGTAATGTCGACCAAATCAAGGCCAAGACCAAGTCGACCAAAAGGCACCGGTCCATCAGCACAATATCAGGCTTATTCGCAAGAATAGTCCTGTCTGTGATGATGGCCCGGTCCCAGTAGAGCCTGACGCGGTCACTTTTGAGCACGGCTTCCGGCAAGTACTTGTAATACGGCACTTTCCGGTCCACGAGACCGTATTTCAGAGCGAGCTCCTGGTGTAGAATTCTGGCTACTAGGTTGTGCCTGTCCAAGTACTCAGAGTTAGAAAGCGCGGAACAACCGGAGATGACATGCCTAAGTGACTCCCCGGGATGGCGACAAGCTCGACAGACGTCGACGGTGCCATCCTTTAGGATGTATCTCCGATAGTTGTTGGTCTTAATAACCTGATCCTGTATTGCACAGACAAAACCCTCGGTTTCCCCGAAGAGGTCACCGAAACGTAGCCAGTTGAGGGAGGCGACTGTATCTACGAAGGGCTCATGTAGAGCCTTGTAGTACCTCCCGTGGAGCTCCTTCTCCTTCCATACGGTCTCCCGGTCGGAAATGCTAAGCACTGCTGGGTCCTGCCATTGCTCGTTGGCTAAGGATAGAGGAGTAAGCCCTTTATCACTAGAAATGACGTCATTATAGAATGAATCAACCGATCTCGCCAAGAAGTATTGACGGAGACCACACACTTCGCGATTATGCATGGTGAGCGCACTCAGAAAGCCACGCCCATCATGTTTTCGCGGCAAGTACAGCCTCATTACCGACGATCTCGGATGATCCATCCTATGGGACGTTATGGTAGTGCGGACTTTTCTATCCAGGGCGTTAAGCTTAGTCTGAGTCCTCCTGAGTATGCCAAAGGTATACATGGGGACAGGCATGACCCAGCAGTTATATGCGTGTGTCTTATTCACACCGGACAAAAGGCTGTTAGCACTTTGGTCAAGCGTGCATAAAACACGTTTGCAAACTGACTGTTTCATACCAGCCTCATCGATACCGATGTTCTGTGACATACCCAGGTATCGGTATGTTTCATATATATATATGCGTTATAAGCAGATGGCAGAATGACCGACAGTGCACTTATAGGCAGTGCATTAGCGTTGTAAGAATATCCACTATCCCATACCGAGCCACGGGTGTCGTAAGAGGCGACAGAGGAAACCTGAAACAGGGAATGGAAAGCAGCATCCTCCTGTTAACATCTAAAAAATAAACAACTGCAGTTGCCATTCTGCCTAGCAGGCGTAGCACAACTATGGCATATATCGCGCTATGAGGCAAACTATGGGGGAGGCCTATGTTCAGCATCGTACCTGAAGGTCAGTGCCTGCAAAAACTGCTAACAGACTTTTTTTATTGTACAAGAGTGACAAACGAGCACACAGTCCACCTGATGGTAAGTGGTTGCTGTGGCCCATAGACATATACATCTTTCCTCGATTACGAATCAAAATGCTGATGCGTTGTCACCCGTGAGGACTAAGATGGAATGCCTCAATTCCAGTAAAATGGGTCTCCGGTTCTCTACACTCACCATACGAAACACAGCAGCTTTGAGCTGCTATTTCACGTTGGTATTCTGTGAGAGCGTGGTCCTTCCCCGGTCGAGCCGAACCATTCGTGCTACAACTATACTACTAATATAACTACAGCATGACTCTACCACGACAAAACCGCTGTTCGTTATTGACGATAAGGAGCAAAAGACATAATACTTACGCGTTACATCAGTTACTCCCCAACCGGTGACTGTGAGAGGCACAGTGGGGTCGGCTTCGCCGGTGTACAAACATGTTGGGAACACGTTTCGAGAGGTCGGAACTCTTTTAGCTAATCTGTGAAATAAAAATATATAGAGTAATAATGATATAGAAAATACTCATTTGTTTTTTTTTTAAATATAACCAGTGACAAACCAACTTAAAGTACATCCGATGGTGTGTGGCTACTGTAGCCCATGGACACCAACAACCAACATTAAATAAAGAAAACTAAATATGCGTTGTCAACTCTGAGGACTAAGATAGAATGTCTCACACCCAGTAATTAGACTGGCTCCCAATTTTTTTATGCTTAAGTTCTACTCTGGCGAAGCCGTCTTACGAAACACAGCAGCATTAGGCACAATTAGGATGCTATTTCAAGCTGGTATTGTGTGAGAGCATCGTCCTACCCCGGTCCAGCCGACACATTCGTGCTACAACCATGATATAGCTGCAATATGGCACTATGACGTAGAAATGTATAGTGTTTTTATTATTGATTTAAAAAATTTACCTGACGGACGTTACGTTCGTCGATTCTTTTGAGATCCTCAGGGCGTGGGATATCAGATTTTTCTACATTGCCACTAATACATCCGTTTACGTAACAAATACCTACGTCACAGTAAATTACCAGTAAAGAAAGTCTCCAGTTTCATCAGGCACAACATACAAGCTTTATTCGGCCATTTGACGCTGGTATTCTGTGATAGCGTGGTCTTTTTCCGATCGAGCCCACTGCTTCCATGATAAAACTGCAGCGTGGCTCTACCACGTGCAATAATAAAATGAAATGAGGATATGTATTTTGTGCATTTCTGACTTTATTGATTTATAATTTTTTAACCCTTTCTATTTTGATATTTATAGATGGTCGAGCAAGTAGATGAATTTATATATTTGGGATGTGTATTAGCAGGGATGGGAAATATAAGTATATTGAACGACGAGTGAATGCAGGAAATAAAGTAAATGGGGCTCTACACTCTATTGTGAAAAGTCAGAATGTGACAAAAAAGGCACGTATGGCAATTCACAATGCTGTATTAGTCCCTATTGTAACGTATGGTAGTGAAAGTTGGGTGTGGCCGAAGAAGCACGGGAGAAGAATAAATGCAGTAGAAATGTGACCTAAGGAGTAGAATAGGGCTGAATTTGAGTGACAGGGTGAGAAACTGTGTGATAAAGAAAGAGTGTGGTTTGCAAGATGATGCGATGACCGGAATTAAGAAAGGAATGCTTCGGTGGTTTGGTCATGTAGAAAGAATGAGTGAGGAAAGACTGACAAAGCAAATATATGTTGCAGAAGTGAATGGAAGAGTCGGAAAGGGACGTCCTAGGCGAAAGTTTATCGACCAAATTGGCGATATATTAAAAATGGGCCAAATTAGGAGTACCCTTGGTTAAGGGTCGGTTGACGAGCATGTATACGTAGGTATGTGGATGTGGAAGAGGCGAGAGAGGTATGTCAGGGTCGTGCTAAATGGAAGTCTGTAGTCTCTGCCTACCCCTCTGGGAGACAGGCGTGAGTGTTTACGTTATTATTTTTTTCTATTTTGATTATTGCTGCATCGCCTCTTATATTTCTATATCTGTTTAGTCTAATGGTTGACTGGGAAAGAATACCTTGTGGCATTAAGTCCGCCATATTTACAACTTTGTGTATGAAAGATTAAATTAATAAAAAAAAAATAATACCTGAGCATTGCCAAGTCATGATACTTTCGTGGTCTCGAGTAGTCCGGATGTATGTAAATGCGCTCTACTTCAATGTCCGTGGCATCGTTCCAGTTGTCGCCAGTTATATTTACAACGCCAACACGAACAATGCTGGGTTGTATACTGTAATTTAAAAAGTTCCATTTAAAAACGAGAAAGATGTAAGCAGCACTAGTGCAATCATCTACCTAGCTATGTTTTTTTTAATATAGCATTGGGTGACAAACGAGCACAAAGCCCATACAGTAACCAAAAATCGGTCGGCAAATGAAGGGGTCTTTGATGTTTTGCTTTAGGATTTACATTACTTCAGTCCCTGCAGTTGTGTTTATTGATGAGACCATTGAATGTCGGAATGTGCCTAATCCGAAAATAAGATGTTGAGATTACAGAACCGTTCCAGCATTTTCTCGGCATACAATTTGCGTAAATTTAAATGTTCCTGCATTAACTGAGTCTTGCATGGGTGTAATTTCAAAATAGAACATAAAGCCGTGCGTGATATTTCTAATTCAGCCGAATGTTAACGTGCCGGTAAATCAGGATCGCGTCGAACTGAAATTGAAGCTCTCTTGCACGTTCTCTTCACTCCGTTAGGTACATGCGCAGCCAGTTTGCTTCACATTTAGTGTCGATCCCGTTTCTTCGAACATCTTCACGCATTTCTTTATTAAAACTGAACTTGGACACTGATAAATGTCTTGCAAATCAGAAATGACCGAAACATTGTTCAAATAAAATTGCTTTACACAAAAGGAGTTCTGTGGATGGAATCGAAGGGTTATTTACATTGAACCTAAACGACTTCTCGCTGTTACTATACACAGTTATCACCCGATCCAGGGCATCAAATCTGCCGTGAGTTGGCAGACTGAGATTTTATTCTCAGACGGGTTGCATCTAAAGATACAGCTTTACACACGTTTCAGTTATTGTAAAATATCGATTCCATTTTAATACCTAATAAAACAAAGTTAAATAGACCAATAAATATAGCGATACTCACCGATCTAAAGTATTAACACAATGGACGGCAGTTAATACATATCTATCTGATATTAACGAACCACCACATCGAAAAACGTAGGCTTCTGAAATTCTATAACCGAGTGCTACCTGTAACAAAAATAATCTTTACTAAACGTTAGCAATGGGCCGGCAATATAGCTCGAAGAACCAACCACCGATAGGGAAGAAAGGTTCTCGAGTGGACAGCCTCGTACCGGTAGGCGGAGTGTGGGGCGTGCGGGGTGTGGTGCTCATTAGGTGGAGTGAAGACCACGTAAATCATGCAGGAAGTCGATGGATGCACAGGACCGTGGCTTGTGACATTTCTTGGGAAAGTCTTATGTTCAACAGTGGACTTGTGAAGTTCATTTTTTTTCCTCGCATAAAAATCACATACTACATTAAAGGTGAGAAAGAATTGTAATCAGGTTTTGGCATTGTGATAGCCAAGGAGGATGATTACGAAAAATCTTCAAAACTCGGGAGCTATCAATATCTAGCAGTCGACTTTCAGCGAGAGGTGGTGTCGTAACAGCCATCCGTCTCCCTATTACGTCACATGTGTTCGTAAGGGGTGACTATGAGAAACGCTAGCAAAATCTTATGCTTTACGATAAATGGATTCCATTCCATTACATTTTATACGTGCTAGAGCCACGCTGCAGTTGTATTATGTTTGTAGCACGAAAGGGTTGGCTCGACCGGGGAAGTTCCACGCTCTCACAGAAAACAAGCGTAAAATAGCAGCTTGATGCTGCTGTGTTTCCTATGGTGAGTGTATAAAACCGGAGACCTGTTTTACTGGAATCGAGACATTCCATCTTAGTCCTCAGGGGTGACAACGCATCTGCATTTTGATTCTTAATCGAGGTTAAATGTAGATGTCTATGGGCCACAGCAACCACTTACCATCAGGTGGACTGTGTGCTAGTTTGTCACCCTAATTCTATAAAAAAATTACATTCAATAAAAGTCCACTGCTAAACATAGGCCTCCCACATAGATTTCCTCATGGGGGATTTATATAATTCCCACGCTTGGCAAGCGGGTTGTCAACTGCAGTTTATTTGTTTATTCACTTTGAGTTGTTTTAAGGAAGACGCTGCTGCCCATCCCCTCCGTCGCCTCTTACGACACCCACGGGACGATATGCGGTAGTGGATATTCTTAACCGACACTACACGATAAAACTTGTTAAGAGGAGTATTAGGTACAAAAAAAAATAACCGGCCAAGAGCGTGTCGGGCCACGCTCAGTGTAGGGTTCCGTAGTTTCCCGTCCGTCACAGTAAGTGTTCCCACTTATGAGTTTGTACAAAAACTGTTGTTTCCATCCAAGTTCAAAATAATTTTCCTAGAAAGTCCTTATAAAGTTCTACTTTCCAGATTTTTTTCATATTTTCTAAACTTATGGTTCAAAACGTTAGAGGGGGGGGGGCACATTGTTTTTTACTTTTGGAGCGATTATTTCCGAAATGATTGACATTATCAAAAAATGATTTTAGTAAACCCCTATTCATTTTTAAATACCGTTCCAACAATATATCACACGTTAGGGTTGAAATTAAAAAAAAAATCACTTCCCACTTTACATATAGGGGGGCTACCCTAATAATACATTTTTTCCAATTTTTATTTTACCACTTTGTTGGCGTGATTGATACTCATATTGGTACCAAATTTCAGCGTTCTAGTGCTAACGGTCACAGAGATTAAGCGAGGACGGACAGACGGACAGACAGACATGGCGAAACTATAAGGGTTCCTAGTTGACTACGGAACCCTAAAAACGCAAAATCACAAAGTTTCCTCGTTGAAATTGTTTGTTTTTCGTTCGTTGCTTAAAATAACATTTGTAATAATATAAATTCTCGGTAAAAATAGTTTGTTTTCTCTACCACAAAAAGCTCCGAACAAAACTTTAGATGACTTATTTATTTATTTAGTAACGATCATTCTCCCGATGCCAAAACTCTCAGAGACATGATTTGGGAGCTCTAATTTGTAGATTCTATTGAATATCGACCATCAAAAAGACTACTTATATCTCACAATTATCCTATACTTACTTTAATAATGATAGAATATATTTTCTTTATATGCCTTTCACGTAGGGAAAAAATCGACATAATTCAATTAACGGCGGAAAAAGCTTCGATACAAGCTCCAATATCTCCGAAGTTCTGCATCATTTTGATGTAAAATTTATAACAAAATAATCATCAACATTTGCTTAAACTATACTATTGTTTTTACTTTTGAAATTGTTACTATCATTTTTTAATTAATTAAATAAAAGTACCACATATTTCACTGCGCCGGCCACCCGTGTTCAACAGGCTGCAGCGTCATAGGTGCAAGTACTCCGGTACTGCGATCGTCAAACCGCCGCACAGGCGTGACGTTCAAACCAAATCTTTCCTACCTATCTCCAGCGGCGGGCTTTTACGGGCTAATAATGATGTTGACTAACACTATAAAATAAAAAGAAAAACCTTAATAGGTTTTTTAAGATTTCTTAACCTACAACCCCTAATAGATAGAATTGAATATTTTAAAGAGTAGCAGAGTAGTAGTTGATTTAGTCAACACAAAAATTAATAATGCCATTTTGTCCCATGTAACAATTTTTTCATAGGATAGTTTGGCAAACGAGTGGCCCATAGACATCTACATATTATATCCTCGATTACGAATCAAAATGCAGATGCGTTGTCACCCGCATGACGAGGACTAAGATGCAATGCCTCGTTTCCATTAAAATGTATTTCCGGTTCTCTACACTCACCACACGAAACACAGCATCATTAAGCTACTATTTTAAGCTTGTATTCTGTGAGAGTGTGCTCCTTCCCTGGTCGAGCCGACCCATTCGTGCTACAACTATATCTACTACTAAAATAACTGTAGCATGACCCTACCACGTATAACGTGTAACGATACACAATATACGTATAACGATTAAGGGGAAGGCTTGTTTACGTGTTGAGGTCACGCTGCATGAATAGGTCTAGACCAGTGATTCCCAAAGTGGTCTATATCGACCCCTAAGGGTCTATGACAACCTGCAAGGGGTCTACGTGAGCGAAAAAAAATTTGGGGGTCCATGAAATGAAATTGGGGGTCCACGATAGTGGATCTCAACACATACACTGATAGTACCTATTTACTTACATCATACTATCTTATAATATCAAAACATATACATTATTTATAAAAGTACCTTTGAAGTAAAAAATTTATTATATATGTTTATAAAATTGTGTAAGTTGTAGGATGTTGGTATTCGCTTTGTGGTCGCAATACATTTTGAACTTGTAAAAACCTGAGAGTCGCAGTCTCAGAGCTTCTCTACCTTGCACTGACTTGTTCAATTCGTCACTCTATAAATACGAATATGGGACAAATACGTTTATTCATTTCCTGAATCTTGAAAAGGAAAGTGCTAAGAAAATATTTTAAAAAATATAAACAGATAGTATATCACACAAATTATAGTGAATCAGTGTTATTTGTTTGAGAGTGCTGGAGAAAAGTAAGTACATTATTTTTTATTAAATTTTAGTTTTGTAATTTTGTACTCGTAGTTAGCAAAGATAGATAAATTACGACAATCATGACTTATTAGTAGTTTAATATTCGATCATGCAAAATTACACGAGTACTCCTCAATAGTTTCTTTTTGAAAGTTTTAGAAATCGGTATTATAATTAGAGTGCAATCTCCGTAATTCGAGCTAATTGTTGCAAGAAGATGTTCGAATTATGGAATGTTTTCGGAAAATTCAAAAAATATTTTTAATATACAGCTGCTGGATTTTCTGTCTTATTTAAATAATTTAATTTTGCCCACAGATGACTGATGCCATGTCCGAATCTAAAAAGAAATGTAGACAGTACAGTGTCGATTATTTGAAATTTGGCTTCATTCCATCATTGCCGGACAAAAACAATTGCCTATGTGCCTTTTATGTAACAAAGTTTTGGACAATGACGCTATGAAATCATCTAAACTGCAAGATCATCTGAGAAGATGCCACCCTGATAAAACAGAGAAAGATTTGAAATACTTTCAAACACTCAAAGACAAATTTCAGAAGAGACCTACACTGGACAGAATGTTCGCTTCGATGTCACAAAGAAATGATGATGGTTTGCGGGCGTCTTACAATATCTCGTTACTTATAGCAAAATCCGGAAAACCGCATACTATCGGAGAGAAGTTAATTTTGCCAGCCGTTGAAGAGGTTTTAAAAACTGTTTTATATCATTAAAAGAATTCCCTTAAGCAACAATACTGTTGTATTGATGAAATGAGTTCTGATATTGAAAGTTTCTTATGTAATTATTTGCAAACGACCCATTTCTCTATACAACTGGACGAGTCAACTTTACCTGATAATGCAGCATTATTATTGGCATATGTTCGTTTTATTATGAATCAAGATCTCTACGAAGAACTGCTCTTCGCAAGAACTTTGATAACCGACACTAAAGGTGAATCAATATTTCATGTTTTGAAGGATTACTTCATTGAAAAAGCAATTCTTTTATCAAATATAATATCAGTAGCTACTAGCTACAGATGGAGCACCTGCCATGGTTGGACGTTATCGCGGATTTATAAGCTATTTAAAACAAAATGTGTCAGGGGTGTTAGCAATACATTGCGTCATCCATCGAAAACATTTAGTTGCTAAAAATTTGAGTGTTAGATTGCACGAATCACTTCATTTAGTAATTGATGCAGTAAACCAAATCCGAAGCAACGCGTTGAATACGCGGTTATTTGCGCAGTTGAGTGAAGAAAATGACGAACGAAAAAAGTTTGACAAGATTTTGCACTTTTTGAGACTATTTTAGAATTTCTGGATACTAAAGATAAAATTTTAAAGGAAAATTTAATGAAGAGGAAAACAGACATCGCCTATTTAATATATTTGTTTACAAAATTTAATATGGTTAATTTGCAATTACAAGGCGACAGTTTAAATTTGATTAAAACAAAGTCCATCTTATCAGCGTTTCTTGCCAGAGTTAAACTAATGAAGCAAAATATTGGACGGGGCGAATTTTCTCAGTTCCCCAATTTGTCACAGACAAGCTGCCAGGAAGACGACGTTTCAACTTACGTTCAACATTTAAATGCCCTCTATTCAGATTTTGAATCTAGGTTTGAGGATATTTTGACTATGGTAATACCACTGTGGATAATTAATCCATATGGTGACATAGAAGAAACGAATGTCATAATACAGGAGGAACTGACTGAACGAAGTACAAACGAAGAATTTAAGGTTCAGTTTAAAAACGGATATCAGCAATTCTGGCTGCAAAACAACATACCCGTTACTTATCCCGTATTATGGAATATAGCGAGGAAATTTTTAATTTCCTTTCCTTCGTCATACCTAGTGTAAAGGGGGGTTCAGTGCTGTTACCAATCTCCTAACGAAAAAAAAAAACAGACTGGACATCATTAGCCGAGGAGATTTAAGATTAACCCTTACAAAATTGACGCCAAATGTTGATAATTTATTATTAAGGCATCAGGTTCATCCTTCTCACTAAAAATATTGACTTATTGCTTTTGTTATTTTATTTATAGTTTATTTTATGTTTATTTAATGCTACGTATATTTTACATAACAGATACAAAATTTTATTTTGAGTATTTTTAATTTAAATTCAATTAATAAATGTATAAATTAACATGTGTTTTTACTTTAAATTTTTAACACTAAACTTCACTACAGTTAGAAATTTACATAAAATCAATATCAGGTAAGTAGGGGGTCTACCCAACACGGAAAAACATGGCAAGGTGTCCACGACACAAAAAAGTTAGGGGAACTCTGGTCTAGACCGAGGAAAAATCCGAGTCTATGGTTCGCAGCATCCGTTTACCATGCGATGGACGATGTGCTTGTTTATCACGCTTATTTTGTACAAAAATATTCAAAAGATCTTTGGGGCTTTTGAGATGGCGTTGGAGTAACTTAGTATTCATATGCATTTTATGCATATTATCTGAAATCGTAGTTGACTTCAACTTTGAAGTTTGTTTTAGGGTTTCGTTGTATTGTGTTATATTAATAATATGTTTTTACCTACGAAATAGACGTTATGCATTACTGGCCATTTTAAATCAAATTTTTTTTTGCCTAAGATATTATTTTAATAATATGGAATTCTTTTTTCAAAATTAGTTATTTGTTTATTGATAAGCGTTTTATTATCATCGCATTTGAATATTTTTCGTCATCATGGATACGTTAAAAATTAGAGTAATTAATAATTATGGAATACGAGTAACGTCATGTCAGCAACGCGGCACAAGCGGCACGCAACGCTAATGACGTTACGGAGCGAATCCTACAAACGAATATACCACCTGTTATTGGTTTGACCGCTTCAGTTCTGGAAATTTCGACCTGAAAAATGAAACCCGAGGTCGTCCAAAACTTTGGTTGACAATGACGGATTAAAGGTGATTATGGAAGCTAATGATACTCAAACTACGGCTGAATTAGCAGCAGCTTTCGACGTGAGTATCAAAACAATATTGGTACATTTACGTGAAACTGGCAAGGTAAAAAGCTTGACAAATGGGTGCCTCAGAAACTCAATGATCACCAGCGCGAAGTAGGCGTCGAGACGTGATTTGTACTACCCAACAGGCGCACAGCTGATGGAATTTTGAACCGTATTGTCAGCTGCAACCAAAAATGGATTCTGTTTGACAATCGCAAGCGCTTATCAATTTGCTTTGATCCTGATTCAGTAAACATTGCCATAAACGAAAACTTACCCTAGAAAAGTGATAGTCACTGTTTGGTGGTCTAACGCCGGTGTGATTCACCACAGCTTCTTACCAAAAGGGAAGAGCATTACTGCAGATGTGTTCTGTGAAGAACTGAAAACAATGACGGATAAGCTCGCACGTCTCCAACTAGCTTTGGTCAATTGCTCGACCCCGCTGCTCCTGCACGACAACGTGCGACCTCATACTGCACAACAGACGGTCTCCAAGTTACACGAGCTGGGGTTCGAAGCTCTCCGTCATACATAGTACTCGCCAGACCTTGCGCTTACAGGCTTTTTCCAGAATTTAGATAAATTTTTGGCGGAAAGGAATTCAATACCTGAGAGGCAGTACAAAATGTCTTTGAAGAATTTGTTCCCTTCCGTCCAGCTGATTTCTTCAAGAGCATCAATAAACTACCACTGCGTTGGCAAAGACGCATCAATTGCATGGGTAATTACTTTATTTAATAGAAATAAAAAAAATAAAAATACGTTAACTTATTTTATATACTAAACGGCAATTTCATAGGTTAAGACCTAATATCTTATTTTAGGTTAGAAATTTGTGCGTGCTAATCAGTTAAAAGTTAAAACGCATTATGTATTACAACGAATTTTGAATTAAAAAGATAAAAATGACACAATGTTTGAGATTATTAAATTAATTTTTCTTTACCACTTGATTTTTTTTTGTTAACCAGCTACAACGCCATCTTTTGGTATCAATACGACATTAATCGGTAAAGTCGATCAGAAGTTACACAGACGCGTCAACCAACGGTCATATTTTATATAGAGGTAATGAATACCTAATTCCACTTAGAAAAGGTTTCAATCAATACCATGTGCGGAAATTCTCCTTCTTCTGCAAATTCACCACCAAGAATATATACCCCAGAAGGTGGATTGTACGTGTCGACTATTTTTTTACACTCTGAAAACAAAAAGTACATATTATATTATTTGGATTTTAATGTTTAACTTAGAAATGAGGATATCCGCAGTAGTACCAGAGTGACCGACATAGCCCAACGGATTAGTAAGCTGAAGTGGCAATGGGCCGGCCATATAGCTCGAAGAACCGACAACCGTTGGGGGAAAAAGGGTTCTCGAGTGGCAGTGGCAGCCTCGTACCGGTAAGCGAAGTGTAGTGTGACCCCCCCCCCACTAGATGGAGTGACGACCTGGTAAGACATGCAGGAAGTCGATGGATGCAGGTGGCTCAGGACCGTGCTTTGTGGCATACCTTGGGGAAGGCTTATGTTCAGCAGTGGACTTGTGAAGGGCTGTAATGATGATGATGATGATGATGAATGTTCCTTTTTAAATTTAATCAGTAATTATGGCGGTAATTAACTATTCAAGTATATTAACTATTGCACTATTACATATTAAGTTATTTGTTATTTATTATGGTAAAAACTGTAATAAAACATGAAACATAAAAATGTATTGAAAGCATAATATATGCGTTTTGCATATTTTTCAGGTTTCTACCAAACACGCAAACAAATAGTACCAATATAGCTGGATGTTATGGCTTTTGCACGTCAATTTTGGTATATTAATTTAATAAAAAGGAATTAATTATAAAAATTAATACAATACTAACCTCTGTCAGCGACTCTCAAACTTTTATCTCCTCCTGCAAAATAATATAAGTATTTTCATTATCTATCATATTTAATATAATTACTACCCACATAATAATTTATGTCAGAATATTGTCAGGTAGTATCTAAATACCTTTGTCATTTTATATTTTTAAGTTGACGACACTACTTATGTACTACGTAAAATATTTTATTGAAATTTTATAAATTATACCTAAGCGTTTTTATGAAATTTTATAAATTATACCTAAGCGTTTCTATGTTTATATTAAATGCTTTGAGTCCAATTCAAATAGTGTTTATAAAAATAAACGTTAAGTAGTTAATTTTTTTTTTAATTAATAATATTAGGTCCACAAGAATTTACTAATTTATCGAGGAGATATTTTAAAACCAAAAACTTATTGTTATCTTGCAGAATATTTGTATATTGTAGGCCATAAAAACATAAATTTTATTCCATGCTTGTGGAATTCCGACGGAATATTGCAAAAAAAAAAATTAAATACAGAATTAAATATAAGATATTTTATTTGAAATAATACATACCTCGCGGTCCAAGTGTAGGCCGATAGACTGCAGTAGCTGAACAATAGAAAATATAATTAAATTATAAACGTATAAGGTTTTGAGGAAAAGCCACTGCCGTCAAGAATTGGGGCAGTGGCATAAATAATAATAAAAAAATTACTTATACATCCGACAACAGTGATCCATAAATGTTAATAACAAAAAAACTTATCACCCATACAATGCATATCAAAATGCAGTGTAAAATAATTTATCGCTCTATTTCGTTCTGTTTGTGTTATTAGAAACTTACTTATAAGGCATACTCGATGGTCACCGATAAATGGTTGTATATCATCGCGCATAATATACTAGATGAACATACTCAGGCGGTTTGGACAGTCCACCTACCGCACATGGCGATTATGGCAAATGATTCCTATATACTATACTATACTATACTACCTGCAATTTCCCGAACTGATATGACTTAGGGACCTTCAAGAAAAGTGTCTACTCTTTCTTAAAAGGCCGAAAACGCATCAGCAACTCCCCTGGTGTTGCAGTTGTTCATGGGCGGCGGTAGTCACTTCCCATCTGGTGAGCCGTATGCTCGTTTGCCCCTTCTTATATAAAAAAAATTGGTTGACCCTGCATGCCATCCCAGGAACTTCCGGCTAATTTCAAATGCAAAGCGCTCCAAATTTCACCAAATTATGACGTTGAATATGAAATATCGGAGTAATTTTAAAAAAAATCGGTCGGCAAAGCCCTTTAAAAGTTATTCCAAAAAACATTTTTATATTTTTATTTTTGAGATTTCTCAAAATCTACCGGTCCGAATTACCTAGTTAAATTCATAGGAAATCTAAGTTTGATGACACTTTGGAAATCCGCTTAGTTCATTTCAATCGGTAAAGCCGTTCAAAAGTTATAAGAGGGTTAGTTCGATTTGTTGAAAAGTGACTACTCATATTTAAGAAACTAACAGTAGTGTTTAAGGTGCAAAATTACTAATAACTTATATGGATCTATGTCTGAAATAAAAAAGTTACTATTATTATTATTATTATTACTAATACACACACACACACGCGCGCACGCGCGCGCGCACACGCACGCACGCACGCGCAAGTACACACACAGTATGTATGTATGTAATTACTTACATCATCGAAAAATTGTCAGGGTGGCTTCCTGTGACCTCAAAACATCAAGATTTTGATGAAAACTAAAATTTCGAAAAACGGGGTAAAAACAATAACTTCTCGATTTTGAAAATATTAAATTTTTTAGCGGGAAGTTAAAAATAAAATATTAAGAGGTCCATATTCAACAGTGGTCTGTTACACACTGATGAGAAGAGAAAAATATGCATATGTCTAATTATTAATTGCTGTAAAGAATTAAACGTAGGGGGAATCCGGGAGACTTGAACCCCCTTTTACAAAAATGACTGTAAAATCTTACTGATTTCTTGTAGATATCTCAGTCTTTAACACTTGGATTGCTTAATTCAATAGGCTTCGATTAGTGGTACAAATGTTATAATAACTTTTATCTACTAAGAATTATGGAACTTTTTTTAAAAAGTCAGAAATGGTTCAAATCTCCCCAACCCATGGGACATTTGACCATAGGGTTGGGGAGATTTAACCATACTTTCTGTTACTGGGAAAACAATTTAAATATCAAAGTTTTTGTCATTATTTTAATCAATTAACAAAACGTAAAAACAGTTTTGACATTTTATGAATGTCACTTACTCTTAATTAACTGTAATTATAAAGAAATCAATAATCAGTTTTAATTATAATAAGGCACTTATAAAAGTAACATCGTAATTAGAGATCAAGGTCAGTCAAAATTGCTTGTGGCACTTATATCCACCCTTAAAGTATTTTTATTGAATTAATCACATTCTGGACACATGAAGTTTTCAGAATCGTTAATAGTTAGCCCTACACATTCCTCGTGGACATACCTTTTACAAGAAATACAAAGACGCATATCCAAGAGTTCTTCAGTACCACAAATAAAGCAATATCAACGAGTATCCAACTCTGGTACTCCTTCCCCTTCCCAGTCACCGTCATTAGAGCTATCAGCATAAGGAATACAATCGTCATAATTTTCTTCAGATTCACTGTCAATTGAGCAAGCTAACGTGCGAGAACGTTTCTGTTGTTTATTTATTTTCCTTTTTTTGGTTTTTGCTGGTCCTGTATCTTTGTTTTCTTTTTATTTTATTTTTCCCTTGCTTTAGTTTTTCTTTCATTTTCTTAGAATCTGCTTTAAAATCATCTTCACAATCTGTGTCATTGTTCTTTTCTTGTAAAATTTGCCTCTTTGCTTTTTTGTGTCTACCTTCTTTCCTCTTTTAATATTCTTCTTAGCTTTAGTTTTTGAGGACTTGTCACCTTTGGCCTTAGTTGTTGTTTTCTTAAGAATTTCATTTGAATCATCATCTGTAATTTTTTCAGCAGTTTTTGTTAGAATTTTTGTTTTTCCAGGTTGTCGTCCACGCCGTGTTGTCTTTCGGGGTACAGCTTTTGGATATGGCCTTATTATTTCTGGTGTAATAGTTACTTTTTTAGTAATATGGTCCGGAGTTTGCGGAATATCCAGCTTTTGTGTCAGAGTAGGTGAATTCGGAGGATAATAATAATTTATATCAGTCTCTTGGCACTGATGAAAAGAAACTTCTAAATTACAATTTAATTTAGCCATGAGAGTGTCATTCAATTTGCTGAGGCAACAATTCACCGGGCTCTCAGGATAAACTTTAGAACAGTTGAGTGAATTTGGTTCATAATCTCATGGTGCATGTGAAAAGCTTTTTAAGACTTTGTCAGAGGTTTGCGGACTTTTCTGAACTGGAGGGTTTAGTTGGTTATTTGTTAGAGAAACAGTCACTGAATCCAGAAGCGAAACATTATTTAAATCAAGCACGGGACTAGATGGAGGGTCCTGAACTTCATCATTAGGGTTTGAAGCTCTGCGGAAAATCTGGTGGATCTTGCTGAGCGCTTGAAAAGACAAGCTGAGCTTGGCGATATTGAGACGAACTACTGGGAAATTCATAATTTTCATTGGATATATCCCTATCTGTTACAGCAGGTCTCATGAAATCTTCATCACTGAATAGATTATCTTTAAAAGGATGTATTCCCGATTTTTTGAATCCGCTTAAAATGTTGGCTTGGCTGAATGCTTGCGACATAATCGTTTTGATGAATCCAGGAATTTGGTATATCGTTACTGTCCTTCCAGGATTTGAAAGCATCCAGTTGCTCAACGCAGTATTATTATATCTCGATTTAAATGACGAATATACAGCGATATCCAAAGGTTGCAACTTATTGCTGCAATGGGGCGGAAGTGTAAGCAATGTGATGCCGTTGGATTTTGCATAACTTATCACTTCGATGCTCACATGGCTTTCGTGGTTATCAAGAATTAATAACACGGGATTATCTTTCGATGCGGATGGGAGTGCTTTTTGAAATGTTCCATGAATTTAAGGAAGCTCTTGGCAGTCATCCAACCCGTAATGTATGAATCTCCATCAGACCCTTCAGGTCCCCCATTAACAAAGTCAGGTCGGTATTTAACACGCGGAAGTAGGAAAAAAGGAGGCATGGTATTTCCAATGGCGTTTACAGCGAAGCAGACTGTAACTAGAGTACCTCATTCAGCAGAGGTGGCATGTCCTACTTGCTTGGCTTTTTTACTTGCCTATACTTTGGGGCATTGTTGTACAGTAGTACAGCCAGTTTCATCACAATTATATATATTTTGTGGCTCAAAATTATACTTTTCTCGAACTTGCTTCAAGTTGTCGTAAAAGTCTGTTACATTTTTTTGTTGAAACTTGTAGCTCGCGACAAACTGGTGGCTTCAAGCTTCCTTAAGCTTATTTCCGGGTTTCTAGCTAAGAAACCTCGGAACCAATCTTTTCCAGCAAAATTGTTATTTGTCCAACATTGAGGTATTTTTTATTATTTGCTAGAGGATAATCAAAAGATTGGCTTGTTTTCTCGTCAGTCCATAGTGCATTTTACTACATGCCAAAAGGTAGTTTACTAATTGATTTTCTTCCCTATTGTCAAAAATCTGCGAGCTTTTGTACTGACTACCTTTTTCTTCTATTTTATTTAATGTCGTTTTATTATTTTTTTTTTGCTCAAGGTCACGCTTCGTAAATTTTCTGCGACGGGTAGTGCCTTGGGGTTTGTATTGAAACGGCATCTTCGTCCTGGAATATAAAAAGAGCACTTAACTTAGCAAGAGTCAACAGACGCAGCTGTAGCCACTGAAGGGAGACTTGAACCAATGGTCATATCTCCCACCGACTAAGTGGTTCAAATCTCCCACACCCCCCCTTTCCGGATTCTAGCTTGCTTTAGTCAGGTACCACAATTTGCAACAATATGCCATTGTACTCGTACACACATTCAAATACGATAATCATGCGATAATATAATAAAACTAAATCTTTCTTACCTTCATTAATCGATTCACAGCGATCAAAACAGTATTTCTATTTATATTTACTTGAGAATAAGATAAACAGGTATATGCCGGTCAAGATCCAACGCGTATGAATTTTGACAAAATGGCTGAACGCTTGTGATTGGCTGCCACCTAATCAGCTTATTAGTGGACAATCAGGCTGTTAGCGCGAAAATTCAAATGAGAAATCAGAGTCGGTTCAAGTCTCCTCCCTGGGCAAGTCTCCCGGATTCCCCCTACTTAATTAATTACTCGTAGAAACGAGTAATTACTTTACGATTATGTCTTAAAATAAAATTGTGATTGAAGTTTTAACAAAATAGAATAGCTTTTACTACTGGTTCGGAAAAAAACGTCTCTTCTGGGAAGAACTAGTAAGAAACCCAGTACGACTATTTTTTAAAGAAGAATTTATAATATAATATGTTGTTCAATTAACTATGAAAACATTTAAAAATAACATAGCAGTGGTCACCTCGTTCCAAGGGGTTATTATCAATCATGTATAGTCTGTTCGCTTAAGGCTCACTTGCTCCTCAATAGTGTCTCCCAACGCATAGGTCTTAAGATGAACATGGACAAAACAGAGATCATGTTTAATGTCCATGTCACACCCATGTCAGTAGTTGTTAGGAGTACTCAGGTCAAAGTTGTTGGTATGTTTGTTTACCTGGGACAAATAGTCCGACTAGGTAAGTCCAACTTCGACCGAGAGGTCAATCGACGGAATCAACTCGGCTGGGCAGCGTTCGGGAAATTACGGCACGTCTTCTCGTCGGGTATACCTCAAACACAAGTGCCACTAAATACCATTAACGGTTTTACTTTTCTAGGATAGAAAGCCCGATAAACTTGTGAAATATGAAGTTAAAGGTAAAAGTTTCATTACTCGTGATTTCCGATGAATGCGGACAGCAGACAATCTCTGTGATGCCCTGGAACCCGCACCTTTGAAGATGATGGGAATGATTCATAGTTATGGCCCTGAAAAAACAAGCGAAACGAATTATACTTTTTATATGTACTTTATATACACTAGTTGTGAACAATTGTTTTTGATTGTGTCTCTACTTTTTACGTGGTAGAGCCATGCTGCAGCTATATTTGGTATAGTTGTAGCACGAATGGCTCGAACGAGGTAGGACCACGCTCTCACAGAATACCAGCGTGAAATAAGAGCTTAATAGTGCTGCGAGTATGTAAACCGGATAATCTTTTTTACTGGAAACGAGATATTCCGTCTTACTTCTCAGCGGAGACAACGCATCTGCATTTGGATTCTTCATCGAGGGTAGATGTAAATGTCTAAAGGTAACAGCATCCACTTACCAACAGAAGGACTGTGTGCTCATTGTCACTCTTCTCCGAATAAAAAAACTTCTTTATTTATTTCATTTTGTTTTTCTTCAATGTGTATTTGTGTACACATTAAAGAATATATTGATTGATTGATTGAAAACTGCATCAAATAGTTCACAATTTTATAAAAACTTTCACATCATGTAGTGGCGGCGAAAGAATACAAACTACCCTAAATCGTAACATGTGTGTCATAAGAGGCGACAGAGGAAAATTGGAACAGGACAAGGACAACAGCATCTTCCTGATCCATTCCACACCAAATTATGAAAAACTATGGTGGCCAACTATGGTATGACAAACTCTGTCGTAGCAACTATGGCAAGATCTCCTCATATATTCTATATGAGGTTAACTGTGCGGGAGGTCTATGATCGGCAGTGGACTTTTGTAGGTTGTAATGGTTTCATCCCCTATTTTTGTACCTTAGAGGTACACACGAATTTATTAAATTTTGTTAATAATTTTGTAATATGTATCTACTATCAATAATTATCATAGAGTACCAAGAGTACCTATTGCACCATCTTGCAAAATTAACACATTTTTGTTAGATTTTCGGGAAATTAAAACACGCGTATTTACCGTTCGTCGTGTTGTGGCGGCGTTTAAAAATATCCACTATCCTATATCTTCCCGTGGGTGTCGTAAAAGGCGACAGAAGGAAACAGACAGGAGATGGGCAGCAGCATCTTCATGATAACAGCAACTGTACAACAAAAAACTGCGGTTGCCAACCCGCTCGCCAAGCGTGGCAACTATGGCAATATACATCAGCAACGACACAAATAAATGACCCCCAGTCCCCGGCCCGCTATTCCTGTCTACGGTGGCGACCACTGTAACGGCGGGGCAGGGGTTGCTAAGAAGCTCTGGTGGAGGTTCGGTTGCCCCCTAAGACAACTCAACCTGGCAACATACTACGCACGCACCCTGAGGACTGACGAGAAGATCCTGGAGCTAGAAAAAAAGATAGATAAGTTGCGCTGGAACATTATAGGATTATCCGAGTACCGAAGAGAGGGGGAGGACAAGGTGATTGTCGAATCCGGCAACTTGTTCTATCACCGGGAGGGCGACCATCTGTCTCTTGTTAACAACGTTGTAAAGATTGGGAGTGTGTCGACGAAGGTTGTGTAGCTTATACTCAGAATTACCAAACGCTATTTGCTGAAGGTCATAGAGGCTTTCGCACCAACTGCAGCACATACTTCTAGACGTACGGCCGTAACTTCAGCACATATTTCTAGAGCCATGCATTCCTTCAAAACCCACTATACGGTGTTAATGGAAAACTTCAACGCAAAACTAGGCACAGGAAAGAACGGTGAGCTGAAGGTAGGGAAATTTGGAATAGGGTAACGGACCCAAGGGACCGGCAGCTGGCCGACTTCATGGAGAAAGAGGCACTCTTTGTGATGAATCTTTCTTCCAGAAGGCACACTGAACTTTAAAGTTAAGTTGGAGGTCTCGTCTAATGGAGTAGCTACGTCCCCCTCGTGCTCTAATCCAAAGTTCCAAAACTTTTCAGCTCGAGTTACAAAACCGTTTTCAGTGCCTAGAAGACTGCAATGGGGGGCAAAAAAACCGAAACGCTAACATCGGGCGCCGGTCACCAATTCACTCAGTCTTTTCACTAACATTCCGTTTTGTTGACGCTAATCAGGCAGTCAAAGCATACGTATTTCGTTGCTTTGTCATCCGTAAATTCCCTAATATTATAATCACCCTTTTTATACAAACTCAGTTTAATAACATTTTTGAACTTTGTGTATGGCAAATTTTGTATGTTTTCTGGGATTTTGTAGTAAAAACGTATACATCGCCCCAAGAATGAATTACTGACTCGGTGGAGTCGAGTAACTGGTACTACTAGATTGTTTTTTTATAGAAGCAAACGAGCATGCGGCTTACCTGATGTTAAGTGACTACCGCCGCCGATGATCAACCGCAACACCAGGGGAATTGAAATAATACTAGTTTTTACGGAATTTATCGTGTATATTTAACTTTTTAAATACCCGAAGCAGATGGTAGCATGGGATCCTTTAATAAATAAAATTAAATCCCAACCCAAGCATACAACTGCAAGACTTCAAGATACCAAGTTCATACTGTGTAGATCGGAACAAAAGTTAAATTTTAATCTATGGTAACCGCGGTTAACTATGAAATCTGGACGTTGAACATCTCAGTCCCACCCGTGACCATGAGTGCTGTAAAGCGTTCGAAACGTTATATTATTATTTAAAAATTTAAATATACGCGATAAATTTTAAAAATTTATTTTAAAATTTATTAATTTACGCGGGTATTTAAAAAGTTAAATATACGCGATAAATTCCGTAAAACTAGTATTATTTTAATGTGTAGTGTTCGCGTAAATATAAGAAATCGTTATGTAAACCAGGGGAATTGCAGATGCGTTGCCGGCCCTTTAGAAAGGAGTAAGCTCTTTTCTTGAAGGTCCATAGGTCGTATCGGTCCGGAAAAATCGCCAGTGGTAAACCATTCCACATAGAGGTCCTACACGGAAGAAAACTCCTTGTGAAACGTACAGCGGTGGACCGCCAAGCATCCAGATGTTGTGGACGGTATCGGGACGTTTGCCGCGTAGTGATTTCACGAAATTTGGCGGCTGGGATTAATCCGAAGAATTCCTCAGAGCACTCCCGTGGTATATACAACATCTCTTCGCAGCGCCAGTGAATCGAGTCGATCGGAAAGCACTCGGTCGTCGATGATTCGAGCCGCTCTGCGCTGGATGCGGTCAAGTGGAAGGAGCTGGCACTGGGGAGCCCCAGCCCAGAGATGGGAACAGTATTCCATGTGCGGCCAAACCTGCGCCTTGTAAAGTTGCAGGCGGTGTGCCGGCATGAAGTACTCACTCTGCCGAGCACGCCAAGATTTTTAGAGGCCAATTTGGCCTTCTATTTCAAGTGACCGAAACTGCACGTCACTCGATATGTCGGAGCCGAGGATTCCGATACTGACTGAGGCAACAAGGGGAATGCCTTGAAACTTCGCTTATTTTTGCAAAACTACTTTTATTTTTGTGTACGTACTTTACATTTTCATTTATGTATTGAGAGGCCAGAGTCTTTTGGTTTTAAATTATATATTTCTCTAATAGCCCTCTTCTGTAAAATGAATATAATTTCAGTGTTAGTCGCGTGTCCCTATAGCAAAATACTATACGACATAATGCTATATATAACTAAAGTAAACTATTCTAGCTATTTCAACGCTGGTAAGAGTTCTAATCTTTTTTACAGCATATGCTGCAGAACTAAGTCTGCTAGCTAGTTTTGATATATGGGGGAGCCATTGAAGCTTTGCGTCTAGTGTGATTCCAAGAAAAATGGTGGTATCAACAAGACTCAGTTCCTCCCCAATTACGAGTCACCAATCGAGATACGAATTTCATACATTTAGCTTTAGTTACATTTAAATGCAAATTATTAACATTAAACCAATTGACTAACATAGCTATAGCATTATTTACTTCCATCGTAATTTAATAACTGTCGTTCTAATTTGAAAATTAATGAAGTATCATCAGCAAATAATACTATATCATGGTTATCCCCTACTATGTAACGTAAGTCATTAATATTAACAAGAAACAGAAAGGGGCCGAGAATTGGGCCTTGAGGCACGCCCATTTGTACAACCGACCCGGAAGAACTCATACTATTAATGACAACTTTTTGCGTTCTGTCACTTAAATATGAAATAATTAATTTAAGAGTATCACTTCTTACACCTTTATAGCATTATGGCAGAATCGCTGGAGGACCTACGTACTATGCTCAAAGACCACAATAGTGTCTCCCAACGGATAGCTCTTAAGATGAATATGGACAAAACAAAGATCATGTTTAATGTCCACCTTACCTTTGTAGTATTCCTTGGGGGAGGCCTATGTTCAGCAGTGGACTTGTGAAGGGCTATAATGATTATTTTATTTTATTTCATTATTTTAATCTAAATGTAAATGTAGCAATTAACAAGTTACATAAATAAATAAATTATTTTTGCATAATACAAATGTGAAATCGTCTCATAATATAAAGTTTCATACTAATTATTACACCGCATTTCACCCTCTTAAGGGTAGAATTTTCTAAAAGCCTTTCTTAGTGGATACTTTCGTTTACTGTTCAAATTTCAATCTGTTTTTTTTTTTACTTCAAAAATATTTATCGCCGTGATTTAATAATTAGTAATCAGTAGCGAATAAAGTTTAATTTATTAAATGCAAATAATGTAGAGTCTGACTAAAAACTCCTGCGGTATTCTTACAGTAAGTACTGTTATTGAGAACATATTTTCGATGTCTTTATAAATGTCATTATTCTGTCGGCGTGTGTCTGAACTTCTGAACAGTGATTATGTTGATTCGAAAATGGTTTAGAATCACAATTGAACGTGGTAGGTGGCGGTATTGTCGAGATCCAGAAATCACCCATGTGAATCCGGGGCATATCGCTGGTTTTCCGGTTTTGATTATAAATCAAGATGCCAAAAAGCATGGAATCGAGAGTGGTTTTCTGCCAATATAATTTTTGTTACGCCACACACTCTCTAAAATAATCATTATAAATTTACTGAGGAAGAAGATTTACAAGAATGTTGCATGTGTTGTAAATATTAAAATAAAAGAACTATTTAAAACATTTTATTACTGACCTTACTGCAACCTCGCAATCGCTGATTATAACACAGACTCCGTTTTCACCATTGGATAAACAGCCATCCCCAACTAAAAGCATTGGTAATTATGTATGAAACCAAATTTAAAATAATAAGTGGTAAAATTAAAAAAATTACAACCGACTTTAATATAAATAAAACGAGAACATCATAAATGTATTCAAAATCAACTAAATACGCATTATTAAGGATAACCCAAAAACTACTGGCTATATCTTGATCAAATTTATATCAGACCACACGAGAAGCCCAGCTTTCAAATAAAAGAAGAATCATCAAATAACCTAGAAAAGTTTTGAGATAACACACATAAAAAATATACAGTCTAATTGAGTACTCTTCCTTTTTGAAGTAGGTTAAAAAGAAAAAACGAGCAAGGGCGATTAGAACGTGCGCCATGAGGGTTCTTAATAAACTTATGCATATGCATATTATACAATATACTAATAACATAATAACACTAATGCCGTCAATTAAAAACTTGCCAAGTGCGTGTCGTGCCATGCACTATGTAGAGTTCCGTAGTTGCCCGGTACAATACGTGAACTTAGAAGGGGTCTTCTTATGAGCATATTTAGTGAGACTGCGGTTTGACCGCTATATCGACTAAAATGGGCCAAAATATGATGGTAACTAGATAATTGTAACTTGATTTTTACTAATCCAAGTGCATATTATAAGTTGGTCGGCTATTTCTCGTAACCTTGTTAAAACTTCTTAGCAGTGATAGTTTTCCTTTTAACTTCATTATATTAAATTGCGATATTTGTCACATTATTAAAGATGTCCAACATATACCTACGATTAGAATGTGTTAAATATCAAAGGGAAAGGTGCAAAAATTTAATATTAATTTTTATGAAACGGGTTGATTTTTGAGTATACTCGGCGTAGCAAAATCATTAATTTCCATATTCTTACCACATTGATTCCCCCTTTCTAAATACCTACTTGAGATTTGTGTAACAGGAACAACTGGTATATGTTACGATTAGGCTGAGATATCCTTGTAGGGTAGGCCTTTTTAAATAACTATAGGTAATAACAAAAACTTCATTATATAAACAACTAATTCGGAAATAATAAAAAATACCACTACCAAAAATAAAGATAAATATATCGCAAACGGACCCCTAAATAGAAAATCGATTTAGGGTTCCATATCCCCAATATTTTTCAAAGACCTATCTAACGACAATCCACACGATGGAACTGACAGGTAACAAAAAAATCACCTAAGTTGCAGTTGCAGGACGAACCCAGTAGGGTAAAAATTGGAGACTACGAAAGCAGACTTCGACCTAATTTACGGCGTACCACAGGGGAGTGTCTTAGGCCCTCTTTGTATTCCGATGACACTGCTATTCCTCCAATTACTGTAGTACTTAGTATGCCTTGAGAAAGAAAGAAATAAATTTTCATTTTTCAGTGGCAGGTACCAAAATTAAAAATATTTTTCAAGTGTATTCTCTATATGTTAAAAAATATGCATTATTTTTGAGTAGATTTAGTGTCATTTAAAATAGGTGTTTGGCCGCAATATTTTCGTTTTTTACCCCATTTTCTCTGTACCAAGGAAACATAATATTATACGTTTTATCTATGCAATTCTTATTCATAACACCCAAAATAAAGAATTACACGCTGTTTTCTATGGCCGAATCCCACACGAAATTTAAATACAAATAATTGTTCCGGGTCTGGATGTTTGGCCTTGGGTAAACAGTGGCCACTTTACTTCACCAAACTTTATTAAAACTCTTTTATTTTATAAAATTTATAAGACATAAAAAATTCAAACATACTTTTATGGTTTACAATTTTGCACATGAAAGGTAGTAATAGGTACTTTATCGTCTACCTCTTGATGTTTTGATGGAAAATAATTTTTACATTTTTTAAACTATGACTATTTTAGAACAAAACTTTAAGTTTAAAGGAATAAAGTTTTAAAAATTTTAATTATATATATTTTTAGAAAACAACGATGGTGTCGATGGTGATGATGGTCTGTATGAAATGGTGCTTGGGTTGAGTGGTTCTAAAGAACTGCCAGTTCAGTCAGTCAGTCTGCCACCGTCGTCATTGGTTTCGGCTGTATCATCTCTGCCGGTGAGGACCCGCCCGTTCAACTCCTCACCGCTTAATTAGTTTCCAGAGCCACGTTAGCCACGCCATAAGATCCAACCGGCCAAGGGTTAGGAGGAAAGGGAAAGAAACCAGCGGAGGATGCAGGCGGTATCGAGGAGCACCGCCTTCTGCATTTGAGCCCGGAGCGGTCCGTCACGGAGTCCCAGTCGCCTCAGATGACCCTGAGAGGCTGACTGGGATTAGCACATTTGCAGAGACGACTACAGGAATAATTTCGGCCGGCAGACCACCCCACATGTCGGTCACCTCGTGAGCCAGGTCCAGACTCCAGATATTTTGTTCGTTTATCTGTTTCGGCTTTCACGAGGTTCTCGTCATACGGAATGGTAATGTCGACCAAAAATATCCTTGACTGTGCCCGGTCCATCAGCACAATATCAGGCTTATTCGCAAGAATAGTCCTGTCTGTGATGATGGCCCGGTCCCAGTAGAGCCTGGCGCGATCATTTTCGAGCACGGCTTCCGGCAAGTACTTGTAATACAGCAATTTCCGATCCACGAGACCGTATTTCAGAGCAAGCTCCTGGTGAAGAATTCTGGCTACTAGGTTGTGTCTGTGCAAGTACTCAGAGTTAGAAAGCGCCGAACAACCGGAGATGACATGCCTAAGTGACTCACCGGGATGGCGACAAGCTCGACAGATGTCGACGGTGCCATCCTTTAGGATGTATCTCCGATGGTTGTTGGTCTTAATAACCTGATCTTGTATTGCACAGACAAAAACCTCGGTTTTCCCGAAGAGGTCACCAAAGCGTAGCCAGTGGAGGGAGGCTATTTGTTTACGAAAGGCTCATGTAGAGCTTTGTAGAACCTTCCGTGGAGCTCCGGCTCCTTCCATACGGTCTCCCGGTCGAAAATGCTCTGCATTGCCGGGTCTTGCCATTGCTCGTTGGCTAAGGATAGAGGGGTAAGTCCTTTATCACAAGAAATGACGTCTTTATAGAATGGATCATCCGATCTCGCCAGGAAGTAATTACGGAGGCTGCACACTTCGCGATTATGCATGGTGAGCGCGCTCAAGAAGCCACGCCCACCATGCTTTCGCGGCGAGTGCAGCGTCATTACCGACGATCTCGGATGATGCATCCTATGGGACGTCATGGTAGTGCGGACTTTTCTATCCAGGGCGTTAAGTTCAGTCTGAGTCAATCTGAGTATGCCAAAGGTATACATGAGGACAGGCATGACCCAGCCGTTATATGCGTGTGCCTTATTCATACCGGACAAAAGGCTGTTAAGCACTTTGGTCAAGCGTGCATAAAACCTGTCGCAAACTGACTGTTTCATACCAGCCTCATCGATGCCGATGTTCTGTGACATACCCAGGTATCGGTATGTTTCAGCCTCGGAAAGGGTCCTTAAGTTGACGAGCATAGATAAGTCTATGCCCTCAGAGTTAGCAACCCTTCCCCTTTCAATACGAAGGACTGCACACTTATCCGTCCCCAGCTCCATTCTAATGGAATTGTTAAATTCATAAGTGATGTTTAGCAATTCCATAAGATGAGAGCGACTGGAGGCGAATAATTTGAGGTCATCCGTATAGAAAAGGTGGGTCACTTTTGTACCTCCTTTCCGAAGCTGAAATCCTCTCCCGGAGCCCTCCAGTAAAGTACTGAGAGGGTTCAAAGAGAGGCAGAACGAGATTGGTCTCAGACAGTCGCCCTGGAATATACCCCTTCTTATCCTTATGCGGCTTTCCGCAGCCGTCATCCGCTCGCCTAGATGACAGAGGATCGTATTCCACTGGCCCATACACTGCTCGAGGAAGTCTCGAACTGTACAGTCAATCTTGTACAGCTCGAGGACCCACTTTAGCCATGTATGGGGCACCGAGTCAAATGCCTTTCTATAGTCTATCCAGGCGGCGAAGAAATTCCGACGGTTGCGTTTCACCACTTTGCCAATGACCGCGTCAATGAGGAGTGGTTCCTTGGTTCCACGACCGCCGCCCCGACATCCATTTTGAATGCGTGACATCACCTGATTCGAGTTCAGGTGACAAGTGATTCTCGCGCTCAAAATGGACGTTAGTGTCTTGTATATGGTCGGTAGACACGTGATGGGGCGGTATTTGCTCGGGTCTGTGGTACCCTGGTCTTTAGGAACCAAATGAGTGATCCCAGTAGTGAAGAGGCTTGGGAGCGACTTCTGGTTGAGAGCCTCTTGAAAGTGTCGGGCGAGCACAGCGTGACACACCATGAACCCCATCAGCCAGTAGTGATGCAGCCTGTCAAGCCTCGGACTTTTCCAGTTCGGGGCCCTACGGACCGCCTCAGCTTCGTCATCCGGCGTTATGATGACGGGGTCCATGGGCGTAATACCCGCATACTGACTCGCCACAACTTCTGCCCAAGGGCCCTCACTGTGGTTTACGGGCTCTGACCACAGGCTGCGCCAGAATGCGACCGTGTCGGCCTGATTTGGTGCTGGGCCCGTTCCACTTACCATTGGTCGCTCCAATGATTTATAGAGCCTCTTCTGATCACTCTGGAAGAGACGATTCTGGTTGAACCGTGTCGACCTCTCGGTATATCGCCGATTTTCTGCTTCAGGTCTATGCGCTCCGTCAGTTTTTGCATTATTTCCGGCTGGGACAAACTAACATTTGTACCAGCAAACGCCATCCTGACGGTGCGCACAATCCTTGGCCTGGTATTGCCTGACCTGAAGCATATCAGTCTGCCGATGAGGGCCCTAGCCTTTGCGATACGTTCTTCAATTCTTATTCTCCAGGCTGGGATAGCACTACTTTGTCCAGTAGCGCGTCCAGCCGTGGAAAGTTTGGCGCCTATAATACGGCAGACTGCCAGTGCGGCGCCAGAAAGAATTGAGTCCGTTTCGCCAAGGTTTTGGCTGGCTTCCAAATAGGTCACCAGCATTGGGTTCAGAGCCCTTATGACAGCCCGATTCCGCTTGCTTAGGACTATGCGGGGAAGTCGCGGTCGATTTTCGAGAGACGTACTGCGCGTTTCCACAATCGCCTCTTCCAATGTACTCCTCATTTGCTCGAGTTCAAGTTCCTGGGCGATTGTTCCATCATCGTTTGAATCAACCACAACTGGGGTATTCACGGTGGCATCCACGTTTGCCGTTTGCTCTGCAAGTTGTGGCGCCGCATCCTCAGCCGTAACATTTTCACTCGATGAAGGAACAGCCTCACGTCGTAGCCGTTCGAGTTCGGCGACATCAAATATATTTGAACGCAAGATATACCGAACTCGGTCTGCCAGGTTTTGCTCTGTGACGGTTATAGATGGCTCCAGCTCAGCAAAAAGACGATGCACCCTAGCCCGATATGCCAAACCTCCAACTTCTCCCACTTTCGCCCTAAAATACGCCCGCAGTGCGTTGTTATTCATTATGATTGTCCATCGCATGCGGCGTACTCCACCAGTGGCGGGTGCCGATTGCTGGGCCCGCGAAGACCGGCACCAAGCCAGCTGGTGGGGTTATTATTATCATTAATATTATTACCTAATAGATAAACATGTTCAATAAGTTCACTGCGAATCTCGATTTTTGCAAGTGTATGTTTTTAAAACACAAAGTGCTCGAATATGCCGTCACCCATTTGATAAATATTGTAGACACTTTTAACACACTTGAAAAATAAAAACGTGCATGCAATAAGATCTATGTACTGCCCGAGTATCTCTGAGAGAACTGTTTAAAGAAATTGATATCGCATCACAATATATTTTTGCAAATATGTGGCCGATATGTGATATTTCCGACCAAAATTATCGATTCCTATAACCGTTTCTGCCAACGGTTTCTTTCCCTTTATCCACTCGGCCGTTTGGTCTCCTTGCCTTCCGTTTGGTTGACTTTTATTTAATTTATACCGAATATTATATATTATTTTAAGTACATGCTACATATTTTATACCATCCTATTTTATGCTTTTATAGTAGGTAGTATTAGAATAGTATAGTATAGTATAGTATATAGTATAGTATAATAGAATAGTATATAGTATTAGAATAGAATATGTTTTTTTATTCAATATCGATTACAAGTTGTAACTCTTATTGAAAGTAATTTTTACTTTACCTACCTTATCTTGAAAATATTTAAGGTGATATATCTTAGCAAAAAGGTATATAAATATACTTTACCACTGGTTCGAAAAAACGTCTGTCCTGATAAGAACCAGCAAGAAACTCAGCGTGACATTTAAAAAAAAATTACTATGTCAAAGGTCACAAAATATTTACAAAATTTATTTTAGAAACAGCTTGGAAGCGACCACCTCATTCCCAGGGGTTATTATAAACCATGTATTAATTTATATTATAATAACCCCTTTTATAGAGTTTTTAATATTTAAACTTGGTAATATTAGTATAACTTACATATTTTATAAGTATTTATCAATCCCAACCAAATGAGAGCATTATTTAAATACCCAAATAATAATCGTAAATGTGGAAAAGACTATTTTTAAAGAAAAGGTGAAGGTCCCTTCATGAATTTTAACAGCGTATCGTTTCCTGGATATGATTTGGAAAAACAAGTCAAGATTTTTCTAAACAAAATTTGTTTAAAAAGAGAATTCATAAAGAGAAATAAAAATTTGCGGATTGTACCCATGTACATAAACTTTTGCAATCTTAGAGGTGAAAAATGTTCCAAAAGCTTATGAAGAATACAATAAATGTGAACAAATGTCTAGTCATTTGTCAGGTCCATTAACCTTAAACCGGTATTTTGCGTAGGTATTTAATTTATGACATCATAAGACTGACATGTAATAAGTAATATTAATCAGTTATTATTTTATATATGTTTATATATCAGCCACTCTTCTATTATTATTTTACATGTGTATCATGCAAAAATTTAAACGTCAAAACTAATTTATAGATTATAATTTTGTAAGTAAGTACTGTGTTCTAAATTTCTGATCCTAATCCAGCAGATGAAAAAAGTGACAACACGCAAAACTAAGTAAATGTCATCACTAATCACCTATCTTCAGAAATAAAATTAAAATATTATATAGGTAATTGAAACTCACCCTCGCTGGCTCTAATAATTTTAACATAATATATTAAACAGCAATACAATAAACTTGTTTTAAGACTCATCTTCGTTCGATAAATTTCATAAAGGGATAACAAAATTCGATAATTAAACTATTCACTTCACTATTACACTTATATAATCATTTTTTAATATTAATTCAAATAGAATTAAAAACATCGGACGACCAGTGTCACTGAACATTAATAAATTCTTCGAAGCAAGGCGGTCACAACACAGTTACGTAGCCCACTTATCTTATATGATAATGTAACCAGGGAAAAACTTAAAGTTTAATATTCATAATTATAAATAGCGCTATGTTATGTAGTGTTAGATTCATATTCATAATTATAAATAGCGGCTTGTCCTCGTATTCAACAGACTCTTAATTATATTACTAAAAATTATTTTGTAATTTGTTGATAAGGGTATGTACATGTACATAATGACGAAATTAACCTTGTGGGAAATTTTACTTTAACTTTTTTTTACTTCAACTACTTTTGTATAGCATTGTCTTCGTCTTATACTGTTCCGATGCTGTAACTATTTTTGTAATAAATAAATAAATAAAACATTAACAAATTTATTTTTTACTTATAACTTTGAAGAAATTATCTTCTTACAGAAAATTGTTTAATAACTTTTAATTTTTTCCGCTAAATAGTATGAGAAGGTAGTTAGGTAGCTCACTTGCGATAAGTTTTAATTATAATCAATATTTTGCTCTACCAATACCAGCTCCAAACCATTGCTTTATTGTTGTAAAAAAAAAAAATAAAAAACCAAGAGCATTTGTAGATGTTTTGATCGTGAACATACTTCAGAGGTCATCAAAACAGGTTTCTGTTTACGATTTTAACTACACAGCCTTACAATCAATCCAGAGACCACATTCAAACATATTCTGCCATCTTTTACGTTTCTCTGTGACAGACTATGGTTGATTAGAAATACGTGCCAACTTAAACTCAACACGTACTAATCAACTCATTTAATTTACAAACCATTGACATAACAGTGTTGTTTAACTAACAGCTTGATTCTCAGCCAGACAGTTAAATAAATGACCTAGGCTGATTTTGATACCGTTGTGTGCCTAAATATTAGTCTGGTTGAATGAAGTTCTGCTAAAAGTGTAAAATTTAAAATGGATGAAAAGCTTTTCGTATAGATAAAGTTTTCGTATAGATAAAGATTTGAAATGAAATTAATGATTTTTAATTAATATAGGTTATTGCATAATACTTATTGAGTCATTTTTTTATTTACCACTGGTTCGGAAAAAACCTCTGTCCTGGGAAGAACCAGCAAGAAACCCAGCGGGACTTTTTTTTAAACATATTTCACTTTACAATAATTTAATTTGTACAATTTTTAAATTAATTTATATAGAACCAGCATGGTGGCGATTAATCAACTCACAGTGGTTATTTTCATTAAGTATTCTTTGATATTATAAAAACCCTTTTTGTACAATCTTTCTTAAATAAAATATTTAACCTTGTTTAATGACAAATTTTGTACATTTTCTGGGATTTATTGTAAAAGCGTACGTTGCTCCCTAAATGAATTACTACTTTCGTGGAGTCTAGTAACTGGTATTACCAAGCTTATATTTGTTCCTAGTATAGTGCTGTACATTCATAACATTTTCATAAATATATTGCGATGACAAAGTTAATATGTTTATTTTTTATTTGTTAATATGTCTTTACATATTAAGTTATAAATCGCCAGTCGCATTACCCCATAGTCAAGATTCAACATTACAAAACATAACGCTATGAAAGTAACTAAAATAAATTAATCTACCCGTCTCAACATTGGTGAGACTTCTAATCTTTCTTACACAAGCCTCAAGTCCTCCCCATTTAAGAGCACATTGGTATTCGAATGTTTGACATTAGGTATTGTAAATTAATAACATTTTGTCTTATCGCCGTTTAAGAACAAATGGTTGGCGATAAACTAATGTATCTACTAATTTCGATAGAGCATTATTTACATTGTCATAATTTACTGAATGCCGAAATTAAAGAGCTATCATTAGCAATTAGCAAATAATAATATATCGTGATTGTTTCCTATAAGGTAAGGTAAGGCATTAATATACAGAGAAACAGGAATGGGCCAAGGATCGAGCCCTGAGAAACGCCCATTGATGCTACCGATCCAGAGGAAACTTTACCATTGATAAAGACTTTTTGAGTTGGGGAGACCTAGGTGGGTTGACACAAAGGCGAGTTGCAACAATGTCGATAATAACCAAGTTATTATAATAAGCATTAGAAGTTCGGGAATGCCGTATTTGGAGCTCCCAAGATACACCAACCGACACCTTGGTGACACGAAGATTGTGCTCATAAATCGAACAAAAGTAAGTTTTCGTTTGTAATTTTGATGGTGTACAGTACTTAGTAGTGTTAGCTATTTTGTGATAAAATTTAGATCTTTATTTAGGTTACCTATAGCACTTTTAAATTGTAACTTCATTTTGTACTTAGATTATGATTTTCAAAGTTACTTTTGTGATCATGTCAGAGATCAGAAAGTCGTAAATTATTATACGGAGGTAAGTTGAAACAGCTTGTGTCAACTCACCTTGTTTGTTTCAACTGTCCTCGATAGTAAATTTATAATATACTATTTCAAGTGGTTAGCTTTTTAACACCCGAAGAAATAAAGATGGTGTCATAAGGCTCAAAGCATGCGTATTTGTGAGATGGTTCTGATGGTTATTTAATTGAAAAAAGTTCAGACGTTTCCAAAATGAGTTTTTTTTAATCTAGTTTTTTTGTTTCACAATGCCTAATAAATATACTAGGAAAAGTAACAGACGAGAAGCGAGTATTGAAATTTATATACTAGCCGGAGATGAGGTTAATCTGAGAGGAAAAAGCCTTAGAGATGCAGCTAAATCCTACGACTTAAACTACTCGTAAAATCGTTAAATAAAAAAATAAAACAAGTATATATCATAGTATTTGTGATTCGATTACGATAATCAAAAAAAAATATAAAGAATCAGTATTTGTGAATAGGATTACGGTAATTTAAAGTGAAATGAAAGCGTAATATCAACAACAACAACAATCAAAATGTCTATCGTGCCATACCTTTACGACGTGGAAAGACCATTGCGCATGATGGAACGTGATTTCTTCCGATCGCCGTTGGAATTGGTGCCTCGTAATTTCTTTGGTCCACAATTCGCCAGACCATGGGAAAACATTATGCAGGAATGGGACAATATTTTACGACCAGTGCAGCAGTTATCACGAGCGAAGGATCAACTCGCATTAAATCAAATTGAGCCGAAAATAACTTCAGATGACGAGAAATTTCAGGTTTATGTGGATGTGCAGCATTTCGGCCCAGAGGAGATCAGTGTCAAGGTTGTCAAAGGGAACGTAATCATCGAAGGGAATCATAAAGAGAAACAAGATCGACATGGATTCATTTCTAGACAGTTTGTGAGACGATACGCGCTTCCAAAAGGACCTTTTTACCTGATACCGTAAAATCTACGTTGTCGTCGAATGGGGTACTAACAGTTACAGCTCCAAAAGTTTTACCCTTACCTTCAATTGGAGAAAGAATAGTGCTAATAACTCCTACTGGACCTATAAAGAAGCAGCTGGGATCACCCGACATCGAGTCCGTAAAAAATTATGCGCCTAAGAAATTGTCTAATTAAGTTGTAAATTAATGTGCACCTATTTTATGTAAAATGCGATTTTTTTAATTAATCGTTTATAGTGTTACGAGCTTGAGGTTCGTGACAATAAAAACTGCCGATTGAATTACCAAAATGTACACTTTTATTACCGAACACCAATTAAAACTTAAAAAAAACATTAATAATTAATCACACTGCTTCACTTTATTTCGCTCCGAAGCTTCGCTTGTCTCGCCAAATTCAATACTGCCCCGATCGCGGGTTGCAGCGGCTTTAAATACACCTTTTCAACCGAAACATCCAGAATATTCCAGTAAATACCGGCGCCGAACGACCAGGCGCAGAAAGTTCGAATGTGGGGCTTCTAGAAAGCTTAATTATTCTGTTCGATACTAGATAGCGCTGTTGGTCGAAAGTTCAATATTGACATTTTCTAGGAAGCCCTCCTCGCTCTGGTCCCCGACACTAGATGGCGCTAGTGCCAGGTACCCGACGTCAACTTAGGCGCGCAACAATATTTTTGTGAAGACTGAATTTTGTTAAATAAAACGTAATGTCGTACCTCTTTAATGTATTATAATTATTAAATGAAATATGTTTTAAGTATGTAAATATATTTCTCTTGCATGAAAAATAGCAAAGATGCCAAAGCCAATAACTATGGGGTATGCGCAAGCTTTTTTTATTTACTGTAGAAGAAGAAAATATTCTGTGCGAGTATCTCCTCCTGTGTTCAGCAGCTAACTATAGTCTTAGCACTAATAAAGCAAGGCGACTTGCATTTCAGCTTGCCAAAAAATATGATAAAAAATTCCCTCCTTCCTGGAACAGAGATGAAATGGCTGGAGAAGTGGTTAAAACTATTTATTGAACAGCTTCGAACCCTGTCTCTGCGGACTCCTCAAGCTACGAGCATGGCAAGAGCAACAAGTTTTAATAAAGCTAACGTATTATTATTTTTGAAAGCTACAAACGTCTACTACATAAGCATAAATTAAATGCTGCCGATATTTAGAATGTTGACGAAACGGGTGTAACTAAAGTCCAGAAGACCAATAGAGCTATTGCTTGAAAAAGTGAAAAACAAGCTAGTGCGATCATGTCTGCGGAAAGGGGAGCTTTGGTCACAGTAGCTATAGCTGTAAACGCTATTGGAAATCACTTTCCCCCAATGTTTATTTTTCCCCAGAAACGTTTTCAACATCACTTCATCCGTGATGGAGCAAATGGGACAGGTAACACTTCAGATTGGATGCAGGAAGATGATTTTAATACATTCCTGAATCACTTCAAGAACTATGTCAGACTTAATCGACTAATCATAACGTCCTCTTGATACTCGACAACCATAGTTCCTCATATATAGCTGTGAAAAACATACAATTATGCAAAGAAAACGGGATAATACTACTTTTGCACCTATATATATATATTTATAACCCTTAGATCGAGCTGTGTTTTGGTCCTTTCAAAAAAGCAATCAACACTTCTTGTGATAGTTTGTAACGTTGCACCACTGACCTCTATGTATACAAGTACACTGGACTGGCTGTACCATAGAAAATGACTGTGCCAATTTGAAGCGCCGCTAAAGGATGTCTTGAAAAATAAAATTGACATAATATGCCAAAGTTTGTTGTCATATTTAAATTGTCTTATTTAATAAATCTGTATTTTTAAATTTTAAACTAAAAAACGAAAGTATTTTATGTTGCTTAATTGTGTATAATATTAGTTACATAATAAGTATTATTTTTATTAATAATGAGAGTGTGCGTAATCTGTAAAACTCGTTACCAAAACTGTCGACTGTTTTATTAGACATGAGAACTGCACCACTTTGAAAAGATGCAGTATACCGACAATATTTTCTGGTAGTACCAGTACCAGTAAGTATAAAAGCATTAGATTATTATTTCTAATGTATTTTTTTTCTTCTTTCCTCATTTTCCACCAAACTCAAGGGCCATAGCCAAGTGTCGAAAGGTCGCCTGATGATGTCGAGCCACGTTGAATGTGTTTTAGTGGGCTGAAAAAAAAACTGTATCGGTGACTGATCTTTGCTGCTGGTAATAAAAAGTTGTTTAGTTTGTTGCTTCCTCGCTTGAAGGCTAAGTTTAGCCATTCTGAGAGGACACGTAGCCAGCATTCTTGGGACGATACCACGGAAAGTAGGAATGTACGATAATTTCAGTTATTTTTTTTAATATTGTTATTTTAATTTCGAAAATTACGTTGCAAATAACTGATAACTATGTAATTCAAAGTTTATATTATTTTATATTATCTTGCTAGCTCGTACCCGGCGCATTGCTGCTACAGAAGAAATAATTGAGGAAATATCGTTAAAAATGTGGAACAGTTACATTGTATCATTAGGAATGATAATAAAATCATTGAAATAGAATGATATATAACTTTCTAAAACTTTCAAATAAGTAGTCAGTATAATACGCACGCCAACTAGTGTCAGTTAATTGTACCATGCGTATAACCTTCGCACAAGTGCAACCAATAAGTTGACTAAGTTTTACCGCAATCTGATGAACGGTATAGCATCGTAGAAAGTACGAACAAACATAATTTTTTATATAGTAGAAAATATTTAACTGTTTATTGACAGCCCTGTTGTTGATTAGAATAGGCGTTATTATAGCAGCTGATTTGTTTTTTATAATACAAGAACTAAATGAACGGTTGACAATAAATTATTTTAGAAATTATGTTTTTATTTTATTTTTATTTTATGTAGTTAGTTTAATCTTAATAATTTTTTAGTTGAATGATCTAAGGGCTACGATGGCTATCCAAGTACAGAACTAGAGTACAAAACTAATCCAACTGTAGAGATGTGTAAGACAGGGTGACGTAATATCCCCGAAATACTTTACCGCTGCATTGGAAGACGTTTTCAATCTACTGGACTGGAAAGGATACGGTATTAACGTCAATGGCATGTACGTCACTTACCTTTGATTTGTCGACAATATAGTCCTTATGGCAGAATCGTTGGAGGACATACGCACTATGTTCAATGACCTCAATAGTGTCTCCCAACGGATATGTCTTAAGATGAACATGGACAAAACAAAAGTCATGTGTAATGTCCATGTCACACCTATGCCGGTGATTTTTGGGCGCACTTAGCTGAAGTTATTGACTAGTATTTTTACTTGGGACAAATAGTCTGACTAGGTAAGTGAAACTTCGACCGACAGGTCAATCGACGGATTCAACTCGGCTGGGCAGCGTACGGGATATCACAACACATCTTCTCGTCAGGAATACCTCAAAACTAGATTGTACAACCAGTGCGTGTTGCCAGTGATGACCTATGGATCTGAGACGAGGTCTTTCACTGCTGGCCGTATGAGGAAGCTTGAAGTTGCTCAGCGAGCTATGAAAAGGGCTATGCTCGGGGTTTCTCTGCATGATAAACTTAGGAATGAGAATATTTGCAGCAGAACCAGAGTGACCGACATCGCCCAATTGATTAGTAAGCTGAAGTGGCAATCGACCGGCCATATAGCTCAAAGAACCAAATACCGATGGGGAAAAAAGGTTCTCGAAAGGCAGCCTCGTACCGGCAGGTAAAGTGTAGGATGTTCCCCCACTAGATGGAGTCAAAACCTGGTAAGACATGCAGGAAGTCGATGGATGCAGGTGGCTCAGGACAGTGCTTTGTGGCATTCCTTGGGGGAGGCCTATGTTCAGCAGTGGACTTGTGAAGGGGTTTAATGATGATGAATGATAATGGCATTACATTAATATGATACATAAATAGAATGGACGCTACGAGTAGAGTCCATCTATCCATAGAGTCCATTCTATTTAGGCATAGGTAGGGTATAGAATTTTTATCGATATAATTTGGTACACTGTCTCATCCCTATTATTAGTTCCGTGGACGTGCACTTCTGCTGTCAGCGCCAAAATGGCGGAAATCAAATCGCTTCATCATGTCACGGTGTATAGCCAGTCCAGCGTACTTGTATATATAGAGGTCAGTGCGTTGCACGTACATGTATGCATAATTATAATTAAACGGTTTATTAAAATTAAATAAACATTTAATAAACTAAATAAAAATAAATTAAAAGTTATTAACAAAAATAATTCTATAATTAACTTAGGTATCCTATTAATAAAACAAATCAGTAAACTAAAAGAACGAATTAAATAATAAATCAAATATTAAAATATTGTATTTCGAACAAACACTCTGACGCTTCGTTACTCTATGCGCCTTGCAACTCTCGCGTCAGAGTTTTACCCGGCCGGTATTATTCCACGGCGTCGCGCTCCCGACCATTCTCCGCCCGAGCGCCCTGGGAGGCGCACACTACCACTGCAGCCGCGTTCACAAGCTCTGCTTTGTGTCCTCGTACGCGCTTGCAAATTTTAATCCCATTTTGGAAAAAGTTTAAAATAATATAATAATTCCGGCACTGTGGCCGTATAGTTTTTTCGTTAATTCTCGTCACCGAGACCTCCGTATCGTCTTGCACCCCGTAAGGGTAAGTGTTGAAACGTTACCTAGTTTTAAGTAGTGAAAGTGTTTTATAGGTAGTGTAATTTGATCATGCCAGGCTGTTTGCTTTTAGCTATTTAATTGCCACGTTATTAGTGTTATTTGCATGTAAGTAATGTATGTAGCCGCTGTGCGCGTTGGCAAAAGTACCGTTACAAAATGGCGTCTCATACATTTCGCACCGCGATCAAATATCGCAAGTCACCATCATGTTTCAACCAATGCACAGCCTAAATTAGTTATCCTGGTACATTTAAACAGTATTTTACACTTGCCGTAATTTTAATTCATGTGTATTTTAATTGCGCCTC